AGCTTCATTTATTTGCTAAAATAAGCAGGAACTGGAACTGATTCTAAACAAAGTGCTGCAGCATTTCGTAGAACAAGATCAAACCCAGATTTTTGTCCATGCCGCGCCACTTTTGTGCTACAATATCAAATATGCTCAAGTCATCATCAAGTCAACAGATGCAAGTCGATTCAAATCGAAAGTCATTGGCGTTCAAGTTCAAGTCAAGTCATAAGTCTTTATAGATTTTATCAACTCAAGTCAGAAGTCATTAAAATAATGACTCGAGTCCAAGTCATGTGACTCGACTCCACACCTCTGCTGACCTCTCATCTTTTTAAGAGGGACAAACAATGGCTGCCAAATACTTTTTTGCCCGACTGCATTCTTTCAAAAGACATGAAATTAAAAGTAAAACATTAATTTACAAAATCCAAGTTACACAAAATAGGTGGTTAATTGTTTTACTTTTGATTAATGTTCAACATAAACATGACATGTATGTTTTTTGTCTTGGCTTAACTGTAATTTACTCTGAATCATTATTATTAGAATAAAGTTGACTAACATCAACGAAACGGCTTTGGTTCTGGTTCTAAAATGATTTTTCTGCTTTACCTAGGATCATCACCTCAACAACATCCATAAGATGCAGAATAAAATGGTGCACTGATCACTCACCAATGAAGCTACAAGAAGAACAAAACAATCAGACGGAGAAGAAAACCTGCTCATTAAAATAGCTGGAATTCAAGAAAAGAAAGCATTTAGTGTTGTGAGATTGCTTGATGCAGCAGTATAAATCACTAACGAAGATGAAAGACAGCGGCGTTGAAACAATATTACAAAGTTTAAATGGCATTTCACCCTAATTTGCTAAATGAGTGGGTGTCTAACCTACTGGTCTGCTCTGATTGGCTGGATAACAGGTGTTCCCTTTGGTTTCGGATATCCCAAACCTGCTACAAGGCAAACATGTAAAAGTGTTTTATGGTGATGTAGATAAGTTATGGAAGCTAAATTTGGATTATGAACTAGGCCTGCAGGCGTCTCTCCCAGTCTTAAACGAACATTGGGATTTCTAGCTGTGTGCAGCATAAGGCTGCAAAACATAATCATGAAAAGTGCAACTGTGTAGTTCATTTATTTCTAAGGCGCCCGAGGACAAGAAGAGCTGACTGGTTATTTTCTATTTTTTAATGAGCATCTATTTGTGATTTTTTTTTAAAGATCTTGACCCCTCCTATTTGCTTTCACAACCATTGCAAGCTACATTTATTATTTTCCATTTCTCTGACACTCTTAAAGTGATTTTATGCTCACTGATCACGGGAAGAACACGTTTTGAATTCTATCTGAAAATCGTCATATTTAAAGTTTAACGTTTTTGATTTATCAAAGAAAACCAAGCTGACAGCTTCACTTGCAACATGGCCGTTCACGCATTTAATAAGGAAGAAAACATGCAAAAACAGGATCAGGTCCTCTAAGGCAGGAGGACCTGATCCAGCAGGTGACATGGACTTTGAGAAAGCAAATATGCTTACTTCTGGAAGATGAGTTCTGCAACTTCACCTTTATTTATGAATGATACACTGTAGTGTAAAGCGTCTTGGAGTCCTTACTCTGAGAGGCACTATACAGGTGCAGGTCATTCATCATTTAAGAACCACTATAAGGACATTTAACATAAACAGGTGAAAGGGGGGAAAAAAGAGAATATGGAGCAGAAATTCATTTTTGTCAGTAATTCTACTTAAAAGTTTAAACTAACATGTGAGAAAGACTCATTCCATGCAAATCCAGGTGTTTATAATTCTAATAATAATACATTTATTTATTTTTGTCAACAACAAATGATCATTTTACATGAAAATACTCTTAACAACAACTGAAGTAGAAATAGGCTGAAGCCAAGTGCCCCCCCCCCCCCCAAAAAAAATTACTGTTGTAGACAGAAATAAATTTAACAAAATAATTGTGATATTATGGCTTGCAGCTTAGATTATTGTGAAAAGATTCAATATTCTCAACTCTAAGTGTCACACTCTGATCAGCTAATTCAATTCAAGTTTATTTATATAGCGCCAAATCACGACAAGAGTCGTCTCAAGGCACTTCACATAATAAACATTCCAATTCAGGTCAGTTCATTAAGCCAATCAGAAAAAATGTTTCCTATATAAGGAACCCAGCAAATTGCATCAAGTCACTGACACAAGTTAGTGACTTTACAGCAATCCTCATACTAAGCAAGCATGAAGCGACAGTGGAGAGGAAAACTCCCTTTTAAGAGGAAGAAACCTCCAGAGGATCCTGGCTCAGTATAAGCAGCCATCCTCCACGACTCACTGGGGATCGAGAAGACACACGCACACACACACACACACACACACACGCACACGCACACGCACACACACACACACAAAGTAATGTGTCTATGGTTATATTGTGATGTCTTAGTAAATATTCTATTTGGCGAGAGATAAACTTTATTGTATTTATCCTAGTGAATCTATAATTAAACGGGTAAACTAGCAGTAGCACATCCCACGTCAAGGAAAACAAAAAGTTATTATCAGGAGAGGGAGAATGTTTAAGTGGTTAGCAGCAGTGTGCTAGTCGATGGCCCCCTCCATGAGGCCACCACAGCTCAGCAGAACATCATTGTAGCTTCCTCTGGGGAGAAAACACTTAGAGAAAAAATAAAGTTAATAGCTGAAATTGCAGGAAATAATACAGTTAAAGAGCAGATTGTAGAAGATGAATCCAGAACACCTGCAGAGGGTTCCTGAGCCTTTAGATGGTCTCTCAGTCTAAGATGGATTACTGGTATAAATGGACTTTTGCACCATATTGATTTTTCCGGTTTGACCCGTATAAGTCTAGTTGATGGTTAACTCATGCGAGTTTCAGACCAAACCAAGCCTTTGGTTTCCAGATAAACATGTTTTAATTTGAGGTTTCAGATTAAGTCACAATCAATCAATCAATCAATCAACTTTTTTCCCACGCTTTGAACCATGCGGCTTATAATGAGGTGTGGATTTACTGAAGATTTTCCTTCACCTGCCACTAGGGGGCGCTTTAGCAGAAAGTGAAACAGGTGGAAGTCAAAAGCGGAAATCGAAGAAAGTGCTCATTTTAATTTAGCACATGCAAGCAGCCGGCACAACAAAGAATTTGTTTCAAATCCATCCCCCTCATCATGGTAACTACACGTATGAGTTCATATGATGCCGCATTTAAGTTGAAGGCCATCGATCTGGCAGTAAAGGAGGGAAACAGTGCTGCCGCACGTAAGCTTGGCATGAATGAATCCATGGTTCGGCGCTGGAGACGGCAGCAGGAAGAACTCATTCAAGCCGGCTTCACCCGGGGATGATGACAGCAACACGGACAGCGACACTGACATCGCCACAGAAAAGGTCTGTGACGAAGCTCTTCTGAGGCTGTTCAACTCCGACACTGAAGAAGAGGACTGTTTAGTGCGCAAGAGGAAGATGAGAGCGAATGACTTTTTCTGGTAGGCAAGTGTGTTTTATTTACTAACAGGCATGTTTTGTGTGCAGTTTTTATTTTCTAATCATCCAGGGCTTGTTAATGCTGTGTCAGCGCTGTTCTTTCCTTCTGAACATGCAAATTACCGGTAATAACGTGCCAGTTCTGTTTTTATCTTATAACCATCCAGAAATATGAATGCTATCAGTGCTGTTTTCTTTTCTAAGCTTGCAGGCACGTTCACCCGTGTTTAAAATTCGTTTTGTTGAATTAAAACAACGAAAAACCTCCGTGTAGCGTCTTTCTGTCTAATTATCTTATGCTATGGCTGTACATGCGCAGTGCGCCGGAGACCTGCATGTGGCTGCTGCGCCGCGGCTTGAGTGCGGCGTGTGTGTGTAGAAAACCTTTTTTTGTTGGTGCGGCTGATATTGAGGTGCGCTCTATAGTCCGGAAATTACGGTAGTTTGAGGAAAACTGTAAACTACATCAGGTCTGCTTGAGCTCGTTCCGACGACGTTTGGGAAAACATCAAAAGTGAGTAAACACTAATGTGATGACTTATAGAAAGACACTAACACAAGTAATTAAAATCTTCATTTAAAGTGTTTTTAGGGGCAGAGACAATTTAACATTAGGGTAATCTCTGTTTCAGAAGGTATGTAATGCATATTTACTTTATTAGGTACTCGATCACTTAGTCACAAAAACAGAAACGGGCGTTTTAAAGTCAGGAATTCAAAGTCCTTTACAATCATCCACAGCTGCCCTGGGCCACACCAACACAGGCGTGGCTGCCGCTGGTCACGCCAACCACCATCAGTGGGCCAGAAGGGTGAAGTGTCTTGCTCAAGGACAGAATGACACGGATGGATCCTGGAGTTGAACCAGCAACCCACCGGTTCCAGTGCAAACTCCTAACCCCTGAGCCTCCGCTGCCCCGTTGAGATTTGTGTCAGACTGAAACCCAAACAAGATGCCTGATTAGCACACGCTTTCAGAATAAGAGCTAAACCCTTTTAAGCTGTCTGGCTGCTTTATTGAAGAGTTGCACAGCAGCTAAATGAAGCATTCTTCTAGCAAATAATCCCTTTGTTTCTGGACTGCGAGGTCTGTTACTCATTCACCGTTCGCATTAGGAGTCCGGTGACTTCTGTGAGCTTTATCTGAAAGAGGCAGCCGCGCCAGGCTGCAGGTGAGCTGTTTTCAGTCAAACGGCTCCTGAGGGTTCCAGTCGACTCTCCTGCGCACGTCAACATCACCTCGTCTTCTAAACCGTTCATGCTCTTCGCCGTGATGCAGGGTTTCCACAAGCATTCAGACTATTCAATTCAAAACTGACCCCACTACCCTCGCTTTCAGTGAAAACAAGCGTTTCTAAAAGATTTGTTGCAAACTTTCAGTTAGCGATTGACATCAGAGCTACGTGCAGCACAAGTCTTAAAAGGCTGAGTTCATTACAGACCGACAGGAGAACTCAGGACTGGTTTAGGCTTCAATAACCCAGAGGAGACTGGACATGGGTAAAAACAAATGTAAATGTTTATTCTTCAAACTCATCTGAACCAACTTTAAACACCATTTCTAACACAACCTGGACATGGCTGAGGTCACATTTCAGTCCTCCTAACCTGATGTAATACTGAGATCAGCTCTTATTCATCACAAACAATAAAATGCTGTAAAACACTACAAAATGTCTTTGTAGTAAAACATTTGAACTTCTGAAACACCCGACAGACGGGTCAGACATTAGAGCTAGCTTGAACCAACACGTTCTCACACCCTAAGCGTCAAAAAATGACGCGCATGACCAAGCGTCAAAATATGACAGTGTCCCAGCGCGTCGAGAGAGGACGCGCAGGGACACGCGCTGTGCCACAGCATCCGTATGGTGACACGGACATTTAACCGACATTTCACCTCGAACCTCTAGCGATTTCTAGCGATTTAACCTTCCCCTCAACCCCATCCTAACCTTAACCCAGTATGTCTGCGTCAATTTTCAATTAAGCGTGTTTGAGAGGAACAACGGAACGAGAAACAAAGCTTTGCTTGCGCAAGCTGGTTAAGGTTAGAATGGGGGTGAGGGGAAGGTTAAATAGGTCACAAATCGGTCAAATGTCCGTCACACCGCGGGCGTCGGATGCCGACGCTCTGGCACAGCGCGTCCTCTCCCGACGCGCTGGGGCACCCTGATCGTCATATTTTGACGCTTGGTCACACGCGTCATTTTTCGACGCTTAGGGTGTGAGAACGTGTTACTTGAACAGGAAGAACATTTAACATGAAGGACGATGTGTCAGTCTTTCTCTTCACGTTTTACGTCGACGTTTCCCCACAACAGGCGACGAGACTGCATCGCTTCCTCTGGTGCTGGGCGGTCGCTTTTGGGCCGAGGACGTTTCTGGAGCTCTGTAGACATTTTCAAAAATCACCCGTTATTTATACAACAAAGACGGCACTTTCTAAATACAAAAGTAAACCGTAGTTTGAGCCAACGCCAGAGTTGAGTTGTTGGAACCTAAACTGGGCTTCATCATCCTTGGAAATAAATGTGTAGGAGCTAGGGTTGTCACGGTAACCGGTATAGCGGTAAATCCCGGTAAAAAAAGTTGACAATAAAAATAACCGTCCAGTTTTAAAAAAATTAAATTATCTTGGTGGGTTTACCGTGGCCGCGGTTTAGGCGCGGTGACCCTTACCAGCCACCGTCGCTTCTGCTGAAGTTCCCGCGAACACGCACTTTTTAGTTTGCAACCAAAACTTTGAAGCTGAAATAATGGCCGAAGGAGGAGACGGCAGCGCCCAGGACATCCATCAGCCCTCAAAGAAGACTAAATCGGAAGTATGGGCATATTTTGGATTTCTGAAAAATGCTGAGGGACAGTTAATAGAAGACGGCTATCCCGTTTGCAGAACGTGCAGGAAACAAGTGTCTGCAAAAGGCAGCAACACTTCAAATCTCATGGCACATCTGCGTGACGATCACCCACGTCTCTACAGCCAGTGCAAGGTAAGTTAACATTAGCATTTTAGCTTAAATGCACGACGTGAGGACTTTTGGTTGAGGGAGAATGCAACGAGTCACTATATACTGCAGCCGCAGCGTCCTCTGCCAGCATTTAAACCGTGTCACGGACACCCTGTTGCTGGATGAAGCATCTTATTTGTTGATGATGAAGAGAAATATACAATTAGTTCCTTGTCATTGATTTGTTTACTTATTCAATGCCATTTATACTTGGACATTTGGATTTGATTACATAGTGTAGTAGTTAATTTAGTAATTTGTTTAAAGTGGCTATTTATTTTAAATACATATTTTTAAGGTTGACTTGTACAGTGCTCAAGTCAAGTGTGGACTGGAGTTTTAGATTTTCATTTTGATAATGAAGAAAACAAGTATATGAGAAAACAAGTGGTGTTTCTTTGATTTGTTTACATATTGTTTATATTTCAAATGTTTGGATTTGTATAATTTAAACCTGCACTGACTACTGTAACATGTTCCAGAAAAAGAAGCTATTTGTTCCTTTACTTGTGAAAAGTTGCACTTTTGCTAAGGCTTCGTGTTATTTTAGGTTTAATAAACAATATTAAACCTTTTCAGAACTATTTCAGTTTGTGTAGAACAGGACTATCAATGCTTTCTGAACATATGCAACACCGTTTAAAAAATACCGCGATAATACCGAAAACCGTGATAATTTTGGTCACAATAACCGTGAGGTTAAATTTTCATACCGTGACAACCCTAGTAGGAGCGCCACAAGCTTGTGAAAATCGTTGTGCGCTCCACAGCTGTGTTAAACTGAGGTCCCAGATGTAAATCTTGGACCGCCGACCTGAGAAGGCAGACGCTCAGATCCTCCAACAAAGCGGAGTTAAAGCCACTCATACATCTGCCCTCTGACTGACTGACACAGCTAAAGTTACTTATGGGATTACAAGTAGATTACTCACACACGCTGTTAGAACGTTGAGCAACTTGATACTGCATTTCTTAAAATAAATTCACCAAATCACACCGGTTTCTAAGATTTTTGCTAATAAAATTTGAATGTTTAACAGATTTCATGTCCTAAAACCTGACTTGCAGCTCTCACTAACCAAGTCTGTTAGTTGCGTTTGTACATGTTCTTCTCCTGGACTTGTTGATGATGTTCTTATGAAAGCAGAGGTGCAGTGCTTACTTTTACAGCACTAAATCACCCGGATCACGTGCAATCTGACCTTTTCTTTATGGTGACACATCCTTCCTTTTCTCCCCACACAGGTGTTTACTGATCGCCCACATTTACTGCACACCAGTTTCTGAACACAATCAATACCACGAAAAGCTCCAGGCAATAAACCGCCTAGTAACCATGATCTCTCAGCTCTCTTAAACCGTTTTTATAAACGCTAAATTGTGAGGTAGCAAGGAACTTCAAACAGAACTTCTCTAAAAGTTTTTTTCTGATCAGGCATCTGCAGTGATGATTACTTTACCAAGCCTACAGACCAGGTCTAGCCAGCTCACTGGTGTGGTTATGATTAGGGTTGGGCATGGAGCATCATTAAAATCGGTTCCAACTGTTAGTTTTTCCCGGAATCGTTCAAAGTTTTTTAGTTCGATTCCTAGAATGCCGACCGGAAGAGGAATCCGCGGCCGATCTCCGTGACAAATAAATGTGATCTGTAAATTGTGATCAACGCTTTTCAGAGCTGATCACACCAGCTGTCTGTGTGCAGCACCGAGCCCCCCTCCCCCACCCAGATATAAACAAACACGTCTGCCAAACTTTTACTCCGTAATGTAAACTTTAATTCCTGCAGCGTAGAGGAAACTTGTTAAATACGTCAACACGGTGGATTTAATAGAAGCTTTAAAGAACAAACTCTGGACGGTGTGAGGTGAGTTTGTCTCAGTGCAGAAATAAAAACACACACGGAGCGTCAGCAGTCACAGTCAGACGCAGCCAGCTACATTTAAGTTTCACTTCCTGTTCTGACTGAATGCTGCTGCAGCATGGAGGTGTAGTTCTCAGTCATCCTGGACATGATCATCCTGAGAGTTTCAGCTGAAAACAGCTGGACGTTTCTGGATATGTTGGAGACATTTAGCCTCTCATCCCAGAGGCTTCTTCCAGACTTTGGTTGTGGTCAGAAACAAACACACTGGTTGTGCTGCAAGTCTTTTTCTTTTTTCCTTCAAAACATGTTTTTGTCTAAATTAAGGTGATGTTTGTTCATAGAATTAAAATTCATGTTGGAGTTAAGATTATTTCATCAAGTAGGACCTGTGGTTAGCTGGATCATGTAAAACATGTCATGTCTTGAAAGATTCGGAGTCGGGAACCGATAGGAACCGGAATGGAAACGAGGAATCGGAATCGTTCTAAATCAAACCTAGTTATGATTCAGGTCAAGTTGGAAAAGGGACTTGGCTGCAACTGTCTTCAAGCAACCAGGAGATCATGTGGAGCATTAGCACTAAAAGCTTCTTTACTTTGGTCAAACAATCCAGCAGCATGCAGGCAGAAAAGGATTCTGTGGAATGATGTTTGATGGTGACCGGAAATTGTGCTGCTGAAAATACGAAAGATAGTTTTGTACCCATGTAGACAGATGAGGTCATGTAGGAGTCTTCTTTGAAGATGATGAAGTGAAAGTAGGGAAGCAGTAAGGGAGCCCAGTGAGGTACAGGACGGGGGAGACAACGGTATGGATGGGAGAAGTAGAAGCACATGGAGTCAATTATCCAAAAGCAAGGGGCAGCACATAGGTACAGGAGAGGTGGAGGGGATGGTTTGAGACAGGAGGAAATGAAAGGGAAGGTTTATAAGATGTGTGGACTGCAGCGGAACACAAAGGCAGGAGCTAGAACTAGAGCTGAAGATGGTCAGATTTATTTATGGAGTGAGAAAAAAGACTGGATTATCAGAAGGGTGTTTGGTTGGACAATGGAAGTGGAGTGTGAAGCTGCCATAGAGAGGACTCTACGACGAGCAGACGGTTGGAGTGACAGTGGAGGAAGCAAGGAATAGGGTGAGATGGAGGCAGATCATTTACTGCAGCGGCTTCTAAAGGTCCCCAGGAGATGAAAACAGGAGGAGAAATAAAACTATCAGGTCGTTTTCAAACCCTCAGCTAGAGATGTTCTAAAAGTCAGAAACTAATTAGCCTCTCATCTCTTTCACGTATTTATATACCATGTCGGACTACTTTTATTCTCCCTCTGACGGTCCTCTAACGGCTCTCAGAAAACAGGCGAGACAGAAACTCAGATGCTGCGAATATCCACTTTCTTCCTGTTATCCCGTTACTTTCAATATGTCTTTTTATCGCGAAACCCCAGGTGAGCTCAGTACGTCAACACACACACACACACACACACACACACACACACACACACACACACACACACACACACACACACACACACACACACACACACACACACCTCAGAGTCGGCTCATCGCTCGATTACTGACTCACCTTTGACTTCCACCAACAATCACTCTGATCTTCTCCATAATGACATGTTGATAACGAGACTCATGAACTAAAGGCGGCGTCTCTCACACGTGGATCCACTTACAGCTACGCACGACGGATTCTACTCAGCTGATCACACTATAGATGCATATATCACCCTCCAGCCAGAAATAACACCCAACATCTACATCTGTTCATCTCCAGCATATGGAGAAGGGAAAAAGACCCTGAATCGGAATTTGGGTTTGAAGGATAAGTCCAGGTAGTAAAAGGAAGGAGAGGAATCTGAGCGGGGTTGATCACTGGTAAGCTGAAGGTAGAGGACGGAGATAAAACCGTGTCTGATGAATCTAATCAAACCCCCTTCATGCCAAAGACACCCTCTACATCACCCTGTTACACCAAAGGAGCATCCTGAGCCATATTCTTCTGATGCTTTATGAGTGATTAGGTTTGTGGAAGAGGAACAAGGTGATTTAAACTAACGACTCTACCTCCTGAGGAAATTGAATTAATTTGGAGTCAGGAGGGATATTTTACTGACCCTCTATTATTATTTCATAGAGTGTTATCACATCCCCCCCGCTGGTTTTACTCTGTCAGCCTGCAGTATAGAAACCGTCTACAGAGCTCTCGGATCATTGGACTACCACTGAGGAACTTAACATCTCAATATTTAGCAGGAAGTTTAGCAAAGAAAATCATTAAAGACCCCTCACACCCTCTTCATACTGTTTTCGAGTGGCTGCCCTCCAAACGCCGACTCCGATGCCCATGCTGCAAAACACGGAGGAAGAGAAGTTCCTTTGTTCCCAGAGCTGTGCCTCTTCTTTATTCTTAGTACAGATGGGGAGTGTATTTGTATGTGTGCGTGCATGTAGTTACATGTATGCATGTGTATTTGTATGTGCGTATGTGTGAGGGAGTGTGTGTGTGTGTGTGTGTGTGTGTGTGTGTGTGTATGTGTGCGTGCATGTAGTTACATGTATGCATGTGTATTTGTATGTGCGTATGTGTGAGGGAGTGTGTGTGTGTGTGTGTGTATGTGTGTGTGTGTGTGGCTACAGGTATGCATGTGTATTTGTATGTGCGTATGTGTGTATGTGTGTGTGTGTGTGTGTGTGTGTGTGTGTGTGTGTGTGTGTGTGTGTGTGCGTGCGTGTGTAGTTACAGGTATGCATGTGTATTTGTATGTGCGTACGTGTGAGTGTGTGTGTGTGCGCGCGCGCGTGTGTGCGTGTGTGCGCGCGCGCGCGTGTGTGTGTGTGTGTGTGTGTGTGTGTGTGCATAAAGGTTTACTCATAGCTGATCACTCACATGTAAAGGTATGAGGTTTTATGGGTTTTGTGAATATGTAAATTGAGTTTTAGCGCCTAGAGATTTTAGTGTCTGCTGCTTCACAATGCTGTCTCAAATTACCCCTCGGGGATTAATAAAGTTGTCTTGAACTAAAAAAGTGGAAAAAGAGTCAATAATGTCCTCATTTAACAGAAAAGTGAAAGTGAATATGGTTTGATCACAAAATTAAAGACGTTTGGATTATAAAGTGCTAAAAATACCAGTTTTTTGCTACTAGCAGCCAACCTGAAGGAAGACCATGCTACGGTTTGGTGAAACGGGGATATGATTCAGTGTCCAGGTTCGTGGTTCGCAAGTGAATGAGCTCCAAGTCGGATCAGTTATTTATTTGTGTCCTATGGGGGTGACAGGATATGTGCTGCTCTGTTATTGCTCTGTCAAAGTCACTCGATTGAGAAGACTACGCTCTAGTAGGAATATAAATGACAAAACAGCTGAGTGAAAGGGAGCACACGTGTCATAATCTGGCTAATTATTTCCGACTGTAGTTTTCCCAGAGTTTGAACCCTTACATTCATCGCCACCGAATCTCTCTTTTTCTGTTTTAATGGGATCTCTGTCAGATGTCCAGAAATGGCATGTTGTCTAAACCAAAGGAGGCACAGACCATGACACAAACTGTCCACTGATTCTCCAACGCTTTGTTGACAAGAGCTAGCTGTCACATTTCAGAGCAGGGGTTGAGGCGGGACAGCTCTATTTGTGGTATAAGTTCAAGTGAGCACCTGGAGATTTGCTGCGCTACATCTCTGGAAAGCTCTGACTGGGCTACAAATGAGCGAGGGCAGTGAGGAGCATCCTTTCTATCACTCAAGCTACCCAGGAGACAACAAGGTGGGTTTGGATGAGGGTTGTCACGGTAACTGGTGTAGCGGTAAACCCTGGTAAAAATGTTGACAATAATAATAACAGTCTTGTTTTTAAAAAACTATATTATCTCGGTGGATTACCGTGGCTGCGGTGTAGGCGCGGTGACCCTTACCAGCCACCGTATCATCTGCTGAAGTTGCCGGCGGCACATGCGCGCTTTGTTGTTTACAACCAAAACTTTCTTGAAGCTAAAGCTGAAATAATGGCCAAAGGAGGAGACGGCAGCGCTCAGGAGGACATTTATTATCCCTCAAAGAAGACAGAGTCGGAAGTACGGGCATTTTTTAGATATTTGAAGAATGCTGAGGGACAGTTGATAGAAGACGGCTATCCTGTTTGCAGCACGTGCAGAAAAAGTGTCTGTGAAAGGCAGCAACGCTTCAAATCTCATGACACATCTGCATGACCATCACCCACAACTCTACAGTCAACGCAAGGCAAGCTAACGTTAGCGTTTTAGCTAAAATGCGTGATCCGAGGATTTGGGTTGAGGGAGAAGGCAACGAGTCGCTATATAAAGCAGCCGCAGCGCCGCTACCTGCATATAAACCGTGTCGCGGACACCCCCATGTTGAAATGACGCTACGCATTACGGGGCTCCCAGGGGCAGATAAGAGTTGGTCTCTCTCCGAGAATAATTATGAATTTAACAATGATTACTGCCTGATGACATTTTCCCACATCTGCAAAGCTCACTGGAAGGACACAAACCGAGGACGATATTTTCCTGATACAGGGTTTATTACTCAAGTAAGGGTAAAAAAAAGTATCTGATTAGAAGGCTACTTGAGTACTGAGTATAATCTGATCTAATATGTTTAAAATGATGACATCAAACAGACAAAAAATAAGAAGCTATGGACAAATATTGGTATTTTAAAGACTAAAGGGAAAAATGTAAACAAATAAACAACATAATTACAAAATAACACATTTTAGACAAAATTTAGACACAAACTGAGGACAATATTTTCCTGATATACAGTGTTTATTTAGTTGTCTGAAAATGTAGCACGTTTAAAAAAAATACCACGATAATACCGAAAACCGTGATAATTTTGGTCACAATAACCGTGAGGTTAAACTTTCACACCGTGACAACCCTAGTTTGGATAATGAGGGTAGATTTATTGTTTCTAACTGAAAGTCGGGACTCGATCAACAAGCCTGGGTCACCTTGGGGCGGGTGGGTGGTGGTGCTGTAGGAATATCACCCATGCATTCATGGGGAAACCTGCTTCTAACAAGTGATCCTGAGATGTCACTCCAGGAAAAAAAGTCCCAGAACGTGACTGGGACCAAGAACATCTGTCCAACTTCATACATGGAGTCGAGTACACCGACAGCCCATAGTATCACGATTTGTATGTCAGGGTTTTATGAACACACAGAAAAACATTCTCTTTAGGGTTACTCATTAAAATATTAAATAAAATTTAAAGATCGCTTACTTAATTTTTATGGAAGACTCTGGCCCAAAAATATCTGAAATAGAACTGAAAGAGAGGAAACAGAAATAGAGCATAAGAGTTTATTTACAGGTTATTATCACAAATGAGGGCTTTGTAGCTTTCAGAAACATGTCTTCTTCATGAGGTTTAAAGTTACAGTAGTGTGTGTGTGTGTACTTGTCTTTATATGCTTACGTGGACTACCATTGGGTATGGATTAGGCATAGTGGGGTCACTAATATGAATGAAAGTCAATGGCAGTCCACACAAGCATATAAATACAAGTAGGTGTGTGTGTGTGTGTGTGTGTGTGTGTGTGTGTGTGTGTGTGTGTGTGTGTGTGTGTGTGTGTGATTTATATACGTCAATACAGATGTGAAATCAATGCAGGTAAACAACTGCGATAATGGTAAAATGGTGATTCTTTCTCAGACTACAACTGTACCAACATTTCCAATCGCTGCAACCCAACTGCAGAGTGAAGTCTGGTTTGTCTGAGACAAAGATCACAGCTGCTACAACCTGTGATGTGATAATAGAAAAATGGTTCCTAATTACCTTTTAAAACCAGAATAATGAGAAAAAAAGGTAGACTGCAACAAATGATCATCCCTTCATTTGCTAAACTCTTCTGTAATGCCCCAGATGAAAGGGTGAGAGATGAAGACGAAGCCTGTAGGGGGTTCTGTGTACCGTTGCTTTAAATCGGTGTTTGTAAGACGATAATTAAAAGGTGTGATCAGAGCAGTCAGAACATCAGAGGAAATGTTTAAATGGCCGATCTGACTGATGCAGCACTTGGCTGAAAGCACAGACAAGTGCAAATCAATATAACCTTTAATAGTAAGATTATTTATCTTTTATTTCAGGCTTAATTTACCTTTAATTTTGCAATCATACTCAGGGGTAAAACCGAGCTAAGACAGAATAATTGCATGGCTTCCCTCTGAGCCTGCATGGGAAAAATAATGATAATTACAGATGATGTAATATTTTAATTCAGAAGCTGTCAGGCTTCTTCAACACGACCAGTTTTTCAATTTGAAACTGTTATTTTTACCTTTAATTAAATATGCATAAAAATATCTGAACAAGAATGGATAAAGAAACCACACTTTGACTTTAATGTGGAACGTTCCAGAGTGAAAATCTGACGAGGTTCTGCTGCAGGCGAGGTAATGATAATCTGAATTAACTTTGAGGGGGAAAATAAATGACATGAACTTGTGTGGCTTTCTTTAGAGCTCACTTTATAGTCCAGCATCAACATTGAGTGTTTATTTTTGTGATCTTTATTCAGACATTGAGGTTGTTTAAAACATTAATTGGATCATTTATATGCTTAACCTGAAGCTTGTAAATACAATATGAGCGCCTTGATGGCCGCCCTCGTGGTCTGCCTGTATCTGCTTTTGTTCTACGTGCTTGTGTGTGTGGACAGGTTGTGCTGCGGGGACACATTTCTGTGCTTCAGGACGTTGGGGCGATGACGATAAAGTTGATTCTGATACAAGATGAATGACACCAATGCTGCTAGTAGGGCTGCAACAACGAATCGATACATTCGATGAAAATCGATTACTAAAAGCGTTGGCAACGAATTGCGTCATCGATTCGTTGTGTTGCACAACTCTTCCAAAAGCGCCCCCCCTTCCCGCCCGCCGTTGCGCGCAGACAGATCAGCGCGAGGGAGAGCCGGCAGTTGTTTGGAAGAGGAACATGGCAGAAGCAGCGAGAGTCAAAAAAGTAAAAGCTTTTTAAGTTTGGGAGCATTTTCAGTTAAATCAGGCGAAGACATGCGTTACCTGCAACGTTTAGGTCAGACTTAGCATGGCACGGGATGATGCAGCGTCTTAAACGCAAGCATGTCGGGATCATCAGCGAGGAAGGAGAGAACTCTGTGTCCGGGTAAATTAAAAACTTTTCAAAAGTGATTCATCCAAGTCCCGGATTATTACACAGGCTAGACATGCCCTAAACTCGTAAAAAAAGAGTCTAAAGTTGTGAGCGCGACGCTTATTAGATGAGCGGGGGGACTCGCGCTGCTGCGAACCGGTTCCGCCCAAGGCCGGATTAACTGGGCAATTGCCCAGGGCCCACGAACTCTAAAGGGCCCAGGGCACGAGCAAAATACTGTATCTATAATTTCCCGCTTTATGAGGACTATGGTGACCGTACGTTCCGTTTTCCCCGGACGTGTCCACTTTTCACTCTCTGTCCGGGCGTCCGGACTGCGGGTTCTTGTATTGATGAAAATGTCCGGCTTTTCATCCAGGAGCAGGGATCGAATTATGGGGGAGCTGTATATCCTACACATCCGGGGAGCCGGAAAAAAGTTTTCTATATTATATCATTTTTGGACTCTTGTGAGCAGAGAGTGGCACAGCGCATTGTTGCGCAGCGATCCAGGCAGCTGCTTCCAGCGCACGGTCCATTCTCAAAGTGGCGCAACCAAAAAACTATAATTAGCACACGATCGTTCATGTCTGCACGTTCTCTATTTTCTGTCTTATTTGTGCCTGCAGCGCTCTGCTACTGCGGAGCTCATCACCTGTGCTGCGGTGATTTCACCTCACGCAGCATCGAAAACGCGCTCTGCGCTTTGCGGTCAGGAGATCCCTTTGATCTACTCAGAAGTAACTGATGAGGTGAAAAAGTAAGAATCCAGGCAGCAGTTTTTCTGGAGAATTAAGAGGAGATGCAGGAAGATGAGAGACAGACAGGACAGGAAAATAGTTCAATAAAAACAACAAAACAAAACAAAGTGTTAAAAAGTAAAATGTAGATAGATTTATCTCCACTACACATTTTTACCTATAAAACAATAAGTTACACACATGTAATATTTATAAATTTGATACAATTCAGATCACCTTCAAAACTCAGTCACACACCCAGGGCCGTTTCAAGACATTTTGGGGGCCAAGGCAAAATGGAGTGTGTGACAACTTATTTTTTCAGTCATTTTTGGAAATAGTGATCAATTTTGATTAATTCACAGCCTATGTTTAATTACATTTAAAAATTAGTTGTTTGACATCCCCAGTTATAATAAATGTCTACAGATGAGATCAAACAAAACTGATGAGAATTGCCCTTAAGCTGTTTAATTGGACCAAGCATTTTAGGTCACAGATAGATGTAGCTTAGGGTCTCTGTCTATACACCTTATAAGACAATTTAGGTGATGGCATGTTGTTTTTCTGCTATTGAACTGTTTTCTAATAATGTTGTGTTAAATAAAGTGAAGGAAGGAGAGAAATAACGTTTCCCTAGCAGTTTCTAAAAATTTCCCCATGTAATCCGATTAATCGATTAATCGTGTCGAGACCCCATCCGATTCATCGATTATCCAAATAATCGTTTGTTGCAGCCCTAGCTGCTAGTTAGTTCAATAGGTTGTTTTTGGCCCTTAACCAGAATATTTTTTAAATGGTTGGACCACTGAAAACACACTTTTTGAATGATTATTTCTGACTATAATCTGCTGCATTCGCTTCTGATAGAAAATAGACGATGAAACTCTAGGATTAGACAATCCTGACAGATCTTCGTCACGCTGTCACTTAACGTTCATGCACTCACCCATCCTGACTCACAACGGGGAAGGCTGTTATTGGTTTGGCGTCTGGAAATTAGCAGCGGACGTCTTGGCTAGTTTAAGCTAACATTACCATTAGCCTCTCCACCACATGGCAGAAGCTCCTCCAGGCTTGTGGAGATAAAACATCAACGTTGCAAGTCAGTGGTAGAGTCTTGTTGCGGTTATCCAATCCGGGGCGAGATGTTCAAATATCAGGTAATAAGCCTCCAAAATCTGCCGCCTGAAGCTCAGCTGTGATTCGGGCAGCTTTTATGTCCGGGACGGTGCACCAGTGTATGTGGCTATCACGCTCCTCCTTTTCCAGAATTTATTGAACTTTAATCTCGACGACAACCTCCAAAGATCAACACTGGTGGTTTTACTTGTGTTAATATAAAAACAGGGGTCAGAACACCAGACTGCTTTGATTCAACAAGACAGAAAAGAAAATGAGCGTGATTGGTGATTGGAAGGAAACTAAACCATCAGTAATTGCACTCCCGCCTATAATTAAAGAAATAACTGTGTGACTTCACATTAGCATGCAGCCAGTTGTTAATCAGTAGGGCTCTAAACAGGTTTGATCTTACCTGCTGATGGACACGTCGCTTAATGCAGGGCTGGATGACAAATCGACACTCCTTGGAGACTGATCTCCACCTGGGGAGCTCTTTGTTTCTGCAACTAGAGCAGAAGAAAAAACAAATGAGCAGACACGTTCTGGGCTGAAGAGGGCAGCTTTTCAAAGGTTATGGGCTAAAACAAAAAGCTCATTACAGAATAATGACAACAATACAACGCCACAAGACTAAAACACCGGACTTTGTACAGTTTAATGGAGTAAAGGTGCAGAGAAGCCCAGATCAGATGCCTTTCATGCCAAAGTTTTAAAACTACGACTTTATGATCGTTTGAGGAGTGATCATGTCTTGGCCAGATTCACTTCTTTTTTTTTAACTTTGCAACCTGTTAGAAATGTGTGGCCCTTTGTTCAGCTGCACTAAGAGCTTTAATCTGCATGTTGCCGAACTTGTCCAACAGACTTGTTGATCTACAAAAGAAATAAGAATAAGCCACGTAACGTTTGGTCCTGGGGCAGCAGTAGCTCAACAGGTTGAGCGGGTTTGTCCAGTAATCGGAAGGTTGCAGGTTCGATCCCGGCTACGGACAGAGAATTCTGCTGTTGTGTCCTTGGGCAAGACACTTAACCCACCTTGCCTGCTGGTGGTGGTCAGAGGGACCGGTGGCGCCTGTGCTCGGCAGCCTCGCCTGTGGCAGTGTGCCCCAGGGCAGCTGTGGCTACATCGTAGCTCATCACCATCAGTGTGTGAATGGATGAATGATACACTGTAGTGTAAAGCACTTTGGAGTCCTTACTCTGAGAGGTGCTATGCGGGTCATTTATCATTGATTTATTTATCATTTATCAACGACGTTTAGATCAGTTTACCTGAAGAGTTTGATTCTTGAACGTCCTCTTTCTTCACCACAACTTCCTGTTTAGCACGAGGCTGTCTGGGGTTTCCTAGGCGACCTCTGACCTGTGCAATTAGCCGAGAGAAGTCGCTGCTGTGCTGCTTCCCTGTGGACAGAAAGCATCGCAGAACATGTTTGAGATTTAAACTACTTATTTAATCTTAATGTTACAAAAAGTTCTTGTTGACTCACTCAAATGGGGCATTATTGACAATCTCAAATCATTTGAAGAACAAACAAAAGCACAATTAAAAACATCAGAGGTTTTTATAAATCTGTACAAATGGAGAGTTCTGAATGAGGGCTCATATGTCAGACAGCTTCAACTACTGAATAAGATTACTATTGATTTCTCTGCATTTCAACCTTCAAAAGGTTAAAACGAAGGAAAATCTTAGTTTTCCATTTCAGTAAGATGAAATGGAAAACTATATTTAGCATTATAGACAGCTCCAAAGTTCGTCCAGAAAAAGAAAAAAGAAATTATCGAAAACCTGACTACTAGCATTAGTGCAATCACACTATCACCGCTAGTGGGTGACAGGTTAAAAAAAAGAGCACTGGTCTGTTTTGGTAGAAAATAAGAATAAATCCTGTATTTCTCCTGGACTGCACCTGTGCATCACACAGAGCCCGTTGCTGCTGCAGCCCAGGCATCTGTCATGGATGCCTCCACAACACTTTCCAGGTGAATTATTTAGGTCATGCTGTTTGCTGGAAGAGATCCTGGGGCATTCCTGTGACACACAGGAGAGGTTCTGTCTCACTGACTTGGACATTCAGAGCCCCCACCACCCTGGAGCATGTGATGGAGGCTGAGGATGCCGAGCAGCTGTCCTCGTGAGTGAAACCACTTTTACTTTATTTTAGTTAGGATAACATCCCGAATCTTCACCAAAGCCTGCGTTTATTCTTTATTTGGGTCCCTCTCTGAGCTGCTGTAGTTCACATAAAACGTTCACTTCTCTAGCTGAGGTTTAGAGGTTCACCAGCTTTGCACACAACAAACTTTCTCTTTCATGTCAGACTGCGTGGCAGCTACATTAAAAGAGAGGTTCAGCTGTCTGAACTACTTATGAGTGGAATCGTATCGTCATGCATGAGCGGTATCTTTCTCTCTCTCCGATCGTCCGCTGTGTCTCTTTAGAGCTTCCATCAACACGACCACTCCTGATGTGATGAGGCGGACGTCTGAAGGACAACTGCTGAGTGACCTTGACTAGGTCCCGACTCCATTAGGAGTTAGCTTAGCAGGGATGATCAAGTGGTGACCGTTGGCTCTGACCGGCTACTAAACATCATTATCAAGAAATACTGACTTCATCAGAGATGCTTTTTGTCTCAGACTAAAAAAAGCATTTCAGTAGAAATGAAACTAAGTGACAGGAAAAATGAACGAGATGCACAAACACACAAGCACCGGAGCATCCTTAATATAATTTAACTGTTTCTGTCACACATTTGCAGGTTTTCCAGATTTGGAAAAAGTAGAATTACATGGAAAATTACAGTTTGATCAGGAATTGTGTGACTCTGTAGCCGTGCATCGTAAACAGTGGCGGTTCTACCATTAGGCATAGGTCGGCGGCAGCCTGGTGCCCCCAACATAAGGGGGCACCCTCGCCCTGACCACTGGCACCGCTCTGTTAATCTCACAATGGACTATTCCTTAAAGACGCAGATGAACAAACAGGAAGTGAATGGTAGTCATTCCACTTCAATCCAGATGGTGGCAGTAATGCACCAAATTGTTGTTTGCCAAGTGCCATAAGACCACAAATAAGAAGAAGAAGAAGAGAGGCGGGAGCGTTCGTAACAAACCCGAAGCAGTAGTCAAAGCATTAAGCATGAAATGGAGTTCTCCTAGTGGCTCCAATAAGAGAAAGAAGCAGCTTGCTTTAAAAAAGATTTTATCTTCACTTCTCAAAAGTGATGTCGTCTTTTAATGCAAACATTTTTTTAATTAGTTTAGTTTATTTCAAACTAAGAAAACATACATAATTTTTTAAAAAGTACCACAAACAGAAAAAAATACATATCATCCCTTCTGTGTTTGAAAAGGAGTAGGCTGAAGTGGAAACTTATATGTCCCTACCCCTTTATACAAGTAATTTTTACTTGTTTACTAAATCTAACACAAAACCTACATTAAAACAAACAAAATGGTACAAGTCACCAAAAAAACCACCAAATTATATGGAAAAAACGAAAAAAGAAAAAAAAAACATCTTTTTACAATTGATACAATTTACTTTTCCTTGGAATAAAGGACACCCACATAAATCATCTATTTTCCACTATATACTTGTTCAGAATATGTTTTTTATAATTCATTTTAAACACATTTATAGTTGTACTTACTTTGATTTCTTCTTCTAAATTGTTCCATAATTTAACCCCTATTATTGTGATACACATCTGTTTTAATGTTGTTCTAAACTTATGTATCTTTAAGTTTAGTGTCCCTCTCAGGTCCTTCTCTCTCTGTGAACAGTTTCTGTATTTTATCAGGCATTAATTTATTTCTTACTTTATACATTATTTGTGCTGTTTTGTATTTAACCAAGTCCTGGAACTTCATTGTCCGTGTTTTAATAAAAAGTTCATTTGTGTGATCCAAATATCCTGCATTTGTTATTAACCTGATAGCCCTTTTCTGCATTGTCGTTATTGTTTGTAAATTACTTTTGTACGTGTTTCCCCAGACCTCTACACAATAGCTCAAATATGGCAGTAGCATCATATTGTATAACATATAGAGTGCTTTCTGATTAAAAATATACTTAGCTTTCCCCAATATAGCAATGCCCCGTGCAAGCTTCCCCCTAACATATTTGATGTGTGGCTTCCAACAGATCCTGCTGTCTATGACCACCCGAAGAAATTTTATTTCATATACTCTCTCAATTTTGACATGATTAATTGCTATATCTAATTCATTGTATCTTCTTTCATCACCAAACAACATAAATTTTGTTTTCTCTAAATTTAGTGACAGTTTATTTACATCAAACCACTTTTTTTATTTATTTATTTCCTGTGTGACCACATCCAGGACCTGTTGCAATTCCACACCCGAGCAAAACACATTTGTGTCATCTGCAAACAATACAAACTTCAATACTTGTGAAACCCTACAAATGTCATTTATGTACATTATGAATAGTTTAGGTCCTAAGACTGATCCTTGAGGTACCCCACATTGTATCTCTCTTAGTCCTGATTTATGTTGATTTATTTGCACATATTGTTGTCTATTTGATAAATAACTTTTTATCCAGTCCAATACTATACCCCTGAAACCATATTTTTCCATTTTTCTCATCAATACGTCATGGTTTACTGTATCGAAAGCTTTATTCAGATCTAAAAACAACCCTATTGCATGCTTCTTTTTGTCAATGCATTCTGTTATTTCCTCATTAAGATCAATCAGTGCCTGGACTGTTGACCTATTTTTCCTGAAGCCATACTGGCATTCCGTCAGCAACTCATATTGATCAACGAAATTATCGAATCTTTTAACAAACAGCTTTTCTAATATTTTGGAAAATTGCGATAGTATTGACACAGGTCTATAATTTGTAAATTGATGCTCATCTCCTGTCTTGTAAATAGGAATTAATCTCACAATGGACTATTCCTTAAAGACGCAGATGAACAAACAGGAAGTGATTGGTAGTCATTCCACTTCAATCCAGATGGTGGCAGTAATGCACCAAATTGTTGTTTGCCAAGTGCCATAAGACCACAAATAAGAAGAAGAAGAGAGGCGGGAGCGTTCGTAACAAACCCGAAGCAGTAGTCAAAGCATTAAGCATGAAATGGAGTTCTCCTAGTGGCTCCAATTAGAGAAAGAAGCAGCTTGCTTTAAAAAAGATTTTATCTTCACTTCTCAAAAGTGATGTCGTCTTTTAATGCAAACATCAAAAGAAAGCAGAAAGGAAAGACAATAGAAGATGTTTAAAGGGAGGAAAACATAGACCAAAATGGAAAATAGAAGAAAAATAACAGAAAGGCAAAAAGCACAGGAGCACTGACAGGAAGAAGAAAGCAGAGCAAATACTGAAGGCACTCAAAGGGAGAGAAAGACAGGAAAAAAGAGGAGGACTAATAAAAAGGGGAAATAACTCATGTCAGAAGAGGGTAGAGTTTCGCAAATCCAGTTAAAGGTAAGATTGTCGAAAATTTAGTGTAAGGGGCCCCATGTCTGTGTTCGCCTTGGGCCCCCAAATTGCTAAATCCGCCACTAATCGTAAGACAACATTAGCATAAAACATCAACAGCACTGAGGCTTTGGTGATGCAGGTAAAGAAAACCTGGACCTCCACAGAGCTGAGTCAAAACATTCAAGGTTTAAAAGGAGCATACATTTAGTCATCCAGTCGTCCAGCGTGCATGTAGCTGCTCTCTCAATAAAAGACCAGGTCCCAGTAAGACGAGGTTACTGCAACCTGGTGGACTCGGTGTTTGCATGTGGCATTCCCATGTGTTCAGTCACCACTCCCTATGCTGGCAGAGTGAGTCATCCACATCCTCCTCTGACAAATCAGGAGGTTATCATCACAGCGGAGCAGCTATTTATAGAACCCACCTCCAGTGAGTCACATCCATTTCTCAAACACTTATAGTTTCCTCCTCCTAGTGACTTCCATCAAGCTTTTTCTAGTCCAACAATGACTTCAATTGTGTCCTTCGATCCTCACGAGCAATGTCAGAAAGGTAGGGAAACAAGTCCCAGATTTTCTGAGCGACGGACGAATGTTTAGGCAGTAAACTAAAGTTGTGGTTTTGTGGAGAAAAGGAAAGGGAAAAACTAAGACGGTAGGTTGTAGTACTGTGAAATTGTGAAAACAGCTTTTGAAAAGCAACAGTAGCACACATTCAAACGAGTACTTCCCATCATTTCTGTCAGGTTCTCTGGCTGAACAAGCTGCCTGCAGGAAGAAAACATATATGCATCGATCCGACACAAAAACTCTCGTCTTATGGAAGTTTGACAGCCAAAACATGTATAGAAATAATAAATGTCTTCTTCATACATTCTCCTGCAATGCCCTGGTCCTGTAGAATGAGCCCTGTCATTTTTACTGTGATTGCCCGTTTTTCTGTAAAATCACAGAAAAACCTGGGTTCGATTCTGGATGTGAACATAGTTCATTTAGAGTTTCTTTTTTACATTAATGGCATATGTTTTTTTACAGTAAGATGCCCAAATTTTTATTTGCGACTCACCGAACGGCACTGAATTCACAGATAAAAAAGATGTGGGTTCAACTTTCATTTTGGAACAATTTTTCAAGCAAAGGAAGGGAATGATCTGAGCATGCAGGAGGACTGACCCATCATAAACTTTTGTCGGCTGTGCTGAAGAGAAAGGTACAGAACCAAATTATTTAATTAATTAGCTGCGCGTTCTCCTGTCCTCCGGGCCACACACACACACACACACACACACACACACACACACACACAAGGGACTGTCTCACTGTTATTTTCGTTAAAGCCGGGCGTACACTGTGCAACTTTTTCACTCGCAGCGTTCAGCTTCAGCTCAAACTGTACGACTTCCTCGCAGAGCAGATCTCACGAGTCATGTGCTCACACTGCACGACCCAGTTCTCGCATGCGACCTGACTGCTCACACTGTACGTCTGGTAGCAACACGTCGGCCCTAAAAATGTGCTAAAAATAGCAGTTTTTACTCAACACGTCAGACTTTTTTGTCTTGCCTGTTGTCCTTCGGGAGTGCTGCAGGACACACAGGGATTTATGGGGGTTGGATGAGGAAAACGAAATAAAGAAAGTGAATCTATGTTTTGTGATCAGTTTAATTTGACATGAACACGACAAACACGCTTTCTTGACAATCTTTGTGAGTAAAAAAACGTGTAGAAACAAAAACGAACAGCGTGTGTTATTAGGGAAATAGCGAGCGACCGGCCGGCGTTGATGCAGGATTGCGAGCGCATGCGCCGTGAGCGGTTCTGATACTTTTTGGATCGTAGCTGCTCGCAGCGCCGCTTCAACAGTGCGATACCCTCAAGAGGGACGAGCAAAATATTAAACACACCAGAAGTCCCTGCGACCTCACGACTGCTGATCGGCGGCTGGTCACGTGGTGTTAATCGCCTCTCGTAACCCCCTGTACACTACACGACCGCTCGGCGCAAAACTCGCCCCAATGTCGTGGCTTCTCGCACGACTGGAAAATCGGCTCAAAAAAGTGAAAAAGTCGCACAGTGTACGCCCGGCTTAAGGAGTGTGCACGTACAGCATGCGCGCCTCGTGCACGAGCTTTTGGCCTGAGGGGGCAATCGCGAGCATAAAAATTCAAAACTCCGTAAAGTCCCTTTAACAAACGGGGCTAAGCTGATTTACTACTCAAGCTCTTTGTCTTTGTAACACTGACACATTTATACATCAGAGTGTGTCACGAAGACACAAAAGCAACAACTTATGAAAACAGATTAGCTAGACAGGCTTTCTGTGCCTGAGAGGCAGGTGGCAGCTCACGCTGAGTGGGGCTCTTCAGCGCCAACATCTTTGGTTATTCTAAATAATAAACAAATCTAATCATTTCAGAAGGCCGTGCTTATTAGAAACAGCGATTCGCCACAGGCTGAAGGGTTTGGTGTAATACCCTCCACATGTTGTAGCTCACAGGCTGCTGGGTGCAAACAGTGGTTCTTTTGGTTCTGTGACTGCAGGCCCCAGAAAGGTGAGGGTTGAACGCTCGACAGCTGGTAATGGAAAGGATTTAACAGCTTTACAGGTGAACTCTTGTTCAAACACCCTATCTGGGGCTATAAACGGTGACCAACACACTCAAGCATCTAAAAAGGAGGAAAACAAAACACTTACTATAATTTGAATTCATCTCATCAATCTCCTCCTCTGACTGGTTCTTTGAGAAAACCAAGACCTGCAGGAGAATACATTAAACACATCTTGTCACAAAAAGGTTGGAAAGAAGAAAATAAAGAACAAGCAAAACTCATAAATTCACCGTTTCTTTTGACTTTGCATTTAAACGTTATAATTCACTGACAAATCAGCACATACAGGTTTTGTTTTCCCGTGCAGCCGATTTATCTTCTTCTCACTGGCCTCCACCTCTTTAGCGATCTCTTCAGCTGTTAAAAACAAAACGTTTACGTCGTTCACTTAGTAAATGAATTGTTGAAAGGTTTGAATTCACGACAGATGTGCAGAAACTGAAGAACTAAACAAACATAAGCAGTGACTGGATGTTCCTTTGGGTTAATACACTCAGATGTTTATGAGGATGCATAAACGTGTTAAGCGGTGTGAAGACACGTGGTTACTAAGGGTGGGACAAAATACCGACCCGACATTTCAACTCATGAACGAGTCTCAGTACGCTCTTCCCCTGCACTGATTTTTTTTAACCACTACCAGAGAAGTCCAGCAGAGGCGCCCCTCATGACGACAGTAAATCTAGCTGAAAACATTAGGCAAAGAAGAACACAAGGCACAAGATGGAGGAGTTGAGAAGCGGGGAAAGACAATAATTAAAAGAAGCACCAGCAAGCTTCAAGTCTAAAGTTAGTAGTGTAGGTGGAACAAAGCTAGATGAAGACAAGAACTGCCTCACAACACGCGCAGCCGCCTCCTTCACCACCGTCTGGAGCTAACAGAAAAGGTGGTTTTCTGTTAGCTCGCACGTGCCCCCGGCACTGTTTTTTTCCAGGCAAAGTTCCTTTTTATTTCTATTGATGCTATGTTGATGACTCATGCCATCTCTGTGTACATCTGTAAGACCCTTTGCTTGTACAGCACTGTTAAGATTTTGCTTTGTGATGCACATCCCTGAACCCAGAGCCCCGAGCCACGGACATTACACTGACATGACAATTGCTGCCATGTATGAAGAGACCAGGACTAAAGGAGAGAACTCATCGCTGTCTGTGCAAAGAAGCATTTGGTTTTTATGTAAAAATAGATCAACATTGTTGGGTTTCTTTACTGCTGAATCATCTGCCCGCAACGTATTATTTTTACACACTTAACCACAACATTCTTTTCACTGAAAGTAATATTATTTTCTTTTCGTTTCACTAAAATTGTGTAATGATAATAGAGGGTAAACTGGGTTAAGTAAATTGCTTGAAAAGATATTTATATTATTACCACTACTTGCGACCAATAGCTGTGATACTCTATTTAACTAGAATATCACCTGCTTGGTCTTACTGTTTTAGTCAGAAGATTCTAAGATTCTTTAATTCATTAAGGGATTGTACACACTTCGCTTTGATTCAAGAAACAGTCAGGTTTATAAACAAAGTAAGAATTTATTTACAAACACTTAAGACTTGACAAATTGTTTAAACTACTATTTACTGTGAGTGGATGCAAACTAATGGATAGTCTGGAACCTATGTGTGAATATAATGTATTCAGCATCTCCGCTCTCAGAGCTGAGTTCTAGATATAAAAGAATTTGGTTTGCGTTAAGCTATAAGTTATTATTATCAAAACCACATGCAGACGCTATCTCGCTGTGCTCTACCTCACCTGTTTGGAGACCCCGTTTGGATCTAAAATCTCCAGGAGCCAACGGCCCCACTGCACCTGGTTCGTAGAGAAACCTCGATGCGACCAAATCAGTCCTCAGATGTCTCTCCGGGTCACAACGATAGATGAATGAAACCAAGCGTCTTAAAAATAACTCTGAAGGAGTTTTGAGTCAGCTTTGTTCTGCAGGAAAACTATCTTGTTGTTCTCAGCTTCGCAGGTGCGAAAAAGGTTTAAGGTTTTGACAACGTGTCAAAATCCTTGGTTAAAGAAGTCTGCTAAAGATGGCCGGTCTAAAGCTTGCTCTCGAACTCTCGAACAGTTGAGCTGTTCGAACAGTTTTGTCTGAAGTTGAACTCAGGGAAAAACCAGAGTAAAACTAGTTTTAACGGATTGATGTTATCTTGAATAGCCAACCAGAAGTTGGCACGTTGAGGATGTTACCAAGCATCTCAGAACACACCCTCTTCGATACAGAGGTTCTGAATCTAGGTAAAAGGTTACTTATGTGTCATGCATTAACTTAACTTTACTTGTGAGTGCAAATGTTATGCCCTCATCAAGTAAACATACTAGTCATATGTCATTAAACACAAATCGATAAAACATTTCATTATTTATAATTAGCAATAACAAAAGTTCATTCAATGATTATTTTTAATGATAAAATCTTCTTTTCTTCTTCCATCTGGGAATAAAGGAGTTTATTTCTCTGTGAGGGACCTTGGAGGAGAAAATGTTTATTGTTTATCATTTATTATCTCTGCAGTCCAGCTAGTGTGAGGAAGTAGGCTCTGATTAAAGGGACTGCATGCAGACTTCGAGTCTCCTGTTAGGGGAAAGATTGTAGGAAGTGTCATAGCCAGGGTAAGTTCACCTGGCTGTGCATTTGACCTGTGGGATCACAAAATCAGGCCATTCATGACGTTACAATTGTGTCCCTGTAAGGCATACATGGGCCGTGTTGTAAGAGTGTAACTTTAAGGCACTTAAACTTGGTCTTACATTGATTTAGCAGAGTTAGCTGTTTAAATGCAGCTGATTGTTAACTGTCTTAAAATCCGAAGTGTGTGTTGCCAGGGAACGCCTTGGGATTCCCCAGGATGAGCTGGCCCAAGTGGCTGGGGAGAGGGAAGTCTGGGCCTCTCGACTTAAGCCTGATTTATACTTCTCTGCGTCGATGCGGAGACACGCAATGCCATTATGTGTCGGAGCAAGGGCTCTCCGACATGCTCACAGAGGGTGACGGAGACATGCCCATAATTTTAAACATCCGTAGAAAGTGACAGAGAACGCAAGCTTGTGATTGCTCAGGATGCCGCTTCCTGTATATTCGTCACCACCACCACTGTAGCTCCGTTAAAAAGTAAACAGATATTTAGCTGCAGACCCAGAACAGATTGATGAACGCATCACAGAAAAAGTCCAAAAATAATAACATTTATTCACCCGTGAATGAACGAGTACAAAATACGGAGCCAACGTGGACGGAAACAACGGGAAATGTGGGTTTGAAGGTGGCGACCGCATGAAGAGGTGGAGGAGAATGAATTGTCCGTGTTACAAAGTCTCTGAAACATATAAACACATTAGTAAATACCAGGTAAATATGCAATCGGGGGCATGATACATGAGTGTTATGGTGGCAGGATACCACAGAACAGCGCTACGACCTCTGTTGTCCTGGCGGGGAATTGCTTTGCAACACTCTGCTGCCTGAACTGAAGTTCTAATGTGAAAACCTTTCTGACAGTCAGTGTGCGTCTCTCCATTGCGGAGATCACGGAGAAGTATAAACCAGGCTTTAGGCTGCTGCTCCTGTGACCCGACTGCGGATAAGCGGAAGAAAAGGGATGTATATGTATATACATAGATATATATATAAATATGCACACACACATATATATATATATATATATATATATATATATATATATATATATATATATATATATATACACACACACACACACATTAGGGATGTGAATCTCAGAGCAACTCACGATTTGATTCAATTCCGATTCACTGGGTGTCGATTCGATTCAGAATAGATTCTCGATTTAAATCAACTCACAATCAATGTTAACAAAGAGTGTCAGTTCTAGGATGTACAAGTTAGTTAAAGTAATGGGACATTTTTATTTAACTTTAAACTGGTCATGCTCAAAAAAATGCAAATGAACAAGGTAAACTAAAGTGATTCTAAAACTGTAAACAGAAACAATCTTTTGACTAAAAGGCAACATTTATTGTTGCTTACCTCGTAAAATACAACAAATCTTTAGTTACCTAACAGTAGCTTTGAAAGTAATACGGTCAAATACTTTTCAAGTATGTGTGGAAACAAGTTTAACATTTGAGTCCTCAACCTGTTTAAAAAAAAGTGCCTCCGATTTCTTACAAAGGAAAATGTGTTCCCTCATTTATCAATAACTTAAAATAAATACATGAGTAATCCTGAGCCCTCACTTATCAACTTAGAAAATAAATATGAGAGTATCTCAAATTAATGAGTATGGAAAAAATTACATTCATGTGCCCTCTTATCAGAAGATTCAAAAAAAATCATCTCAATTTATGGGGCCGCAAAAGTAAACGGAGTACCAACTTTCCTAACAAAGATAAAAAAACAGACTAAAAGGCATCTCAAACCTGTAACATGCCAAACATTTGAGTTCTTGGGATCGATTCTGAACCTTTGTGAATCGATTCTGAATCTTTATTAATAAGAATCCTGATTCAGACTTGAATCGATTTTTTTCAGCACCTCTAATACACACATATACATATATATGTATATATATACACTCATACACACACACACACACACACACACACACACACACACACACACACACACACACACACACACACACACACAAGGCTAAATTGTGCAATATATCATCTATAGCAAAATTGTTATGTTATTATATCGTGAGGTATGCTGAGGTTTCCAGCTCTAATGGTTACATGTCTGCTTGTTTATTTTTAATAATGTGTATTTTTGATGTCTAAAGGTATGTAAAGGAGAGCTGGGCCACCCTTGACATTTTTATTCTACTTTCAATAATCTGTAGTGCTCTGAAATAGTTGAAACCAGCCTGGATCAATTATTTTCCAGACTTTTTAAAAGCCTTTTACAGCTTTTGTTTGGGCTACTTTTTGTTTCAGTTTCAGAAGAAATTTCCTTTTTATGTTTGATCACATGTGAACAAAGTGATTCTTAAAAGGATATAAACAAAAATCGCTCCATATCCATAAATGTCTGACACTTAGATCAGCTGACCGGGAGAGTTTAGAAAACATTCTGCTTTTAATCTCAGATTTCTTACAGCCATTTACAGAGCAGCGCCACAAATGTCTATTTAATGTGCAGTTAAGGCCGTCTCTGAACCACGCTGATGAGAGCTAGCGGCTCTAATTGGTGTCATTTGGGCGAAGAAGCCAAACACTAGACTTTTACATCATATGGACCACATCTATACAAGGAGTCCTTGCTTGCTTGTATTTAAAGTTACGAACAGATTATTTTACCAGATTTAGGGTTGAGAGAGTCACACTGTGAGTTGTACAAGAGGACAAAGTCCCGGTGTCTTTTGATCAGCTGGTCCCGAGACCCCTGCACGGACAGATGGTTCTCCTTCAACCGCCTCTTCAGTTCCTGAATGGACAGAAGATTGTACACCAGCTTCGCCATCGGACGCCTGGTTTTGATACGAGAGCTGAAACTGAGATCAGAGCTTTGTTTTACTTAATGCAAACAAACACCATAAACAAAGGATAATGAATGATGTCAATCGCATTCCCCGCTCCACATCAGATTATTAAAACACGCTCAGATTAAGTGCTTTCCATGTTTGGCTAAAGAGACAGAAATTCACTGCAGCATGCATCAAGCACACAAATTCAAATGTTCACATGTTTGCTGCTAAAACCAGACAGACGACGTTCATCAGTGGAAGGTTTCAGATCAGTGTCTCTAAACACCACAGCAACACTAAACACTGAAGGGAAAATGTCACCATTTTCACATGGACCATGATTCTAACCTTTAAAGCCATTAATGAGGAAAGAAACATGCTTGTTAAAACTCATCAATACATGTTTAGAATGAGTACCAACTTTTGAAATGGTTCCAAGTTACAACGGTTTCTAAATCAAAACTGACTCGTTATCAGAAAACTTTGCGCCTTTAGCGATATCTTGTGCTTAATCACAGCTTTGAAGAGTCAATGTGCAGTTTTTACCACTAATCTCTGGAAATATCCATCGAAATGTTGTTGAAAATGATTTCAATGATTCCCAGTTGTTGAAAACTATTGGCGGCTTCATAACATAATCATATAAATGGGGTCTAAAATACATGAGAGCGGGTCTAAGTCTGTGGGCGACGCCATATCAGACTCAAACTTTACTTCTACAGGAGCCTGTGAGGACAAAAATGCATTTACTGATTTGTAACAAGTGGTTACTAAACTTTTGCCATTCATAAACGTTTTTTACACATTTACCTCTTCACTCGTTGTCAGTGATGAAAGGGAATCTGATGTGCTTGTTATTTTGCTGGAGGTTGCGCCCCCAGGGATTTTTGACCCTAATGGCCATCTGTTGGTAAGGTCTTCCTCAAACACAAAAATAATGCTTACTCACAATGATCTAGGTGTGTACTGCCCCCTATCACGAGGGAAAATACACGCAGTCACTTTAACCCAAACTCCACAGACAAGTTGAATAAATAAACATTAATGTTATATCTCATCAAAGTTCTAGGTTCATTTAATTCATTTGGTTGCTTAAGTGTATGTTTTACCTCCTCAGGCTGTCCTTCTTCCCCTCACTGCTGAGACAGATGTCCAGATGTTTGTTGATGAAATGCTGTGCCACGCTTACAGAACAAACAGGGCACTCAACTGGAAAACAACAACAAAAAAAAGGATGAACATGAAGTCATTAGCATATTAATCTGCACTCCATGCTAATCATCCACTTTTAGTTCCAGGAGTCAAGACTCATTAGGGTGTCAGAGTGTACTCAATCAGATCCAGTTAACACACAAATCATATCCACCACAGGATCCTGATTTACCATTCACAGGAAATGATTAGCTGATCCTAGAACAGCATAAAAACACTCATCTAAATCTGGAAATACCTTCTGACCAACAGCCATCAATAAATCTGTCCTTTCATTAAAGAACATAATGTTTATTAACTACAATAACCGCATACAACTGATAGGAACCTAAAGTCATGACCAGACATCAGAGGCTTGTTTTGGTAAAATAATGCTACCTGAACAGAGACAATGTGTACTTTTACCGTTAATCTCTAGAAATAATCAGCAAAAGGTTGTTGAAAATCAATAAAATGATGTCCAGGTTTGAAAAATATTGGCAGTTTTGTGACATATAACCATAAAAATCAGGTCTAAAGTAAATTGTGCGCAGGACTAGCATCTTCGGGGGACGCCATATTAGACACCATGTTTCCTTCTGGCCTGCTCGGGGTCCTGCGCCTGCTGATGACGTCACACTAGATGATTGGCTGGACGAACGACTTACGAAGTTACGTTACCACGTTCAAAAACATTTAGGCAGTAAGAAACACAAACTTAATAACAAAACTGCTAAATTCTTTCCAAAACATATGTGAAAGAACAGAACTGAAGAGATGCAACATACTTGGTGTTAATTACCCTAACCCTGAGCACATCCGGACACTACAGTTCCAGAAAACTACAATTGGCATTCCATTCTCTTGATGGAATTAACTAACCTAGTGAACTAGACCAAATTCTTGCTTTGCAAAGTTTGGTGTAGGAACGCTCCACTGGAACCTCTGCAGCCTCTAACAGCATTCTGGCTGGCCAATCACAGCTCTCTAGAGGGGTTTCAAACACATAAAGAGCTGTGATTGGTCCATAATGGTGGGCCAATCATAGTGCTCTATCTGCTAAGTGAACAAATCACAGAGCTTTATCCGCTTTGTGGGCCAATCAGGTCACTCTATATGCCTGGTGGGTGGGATGATGCAACAGAGCGAAACAAGATGGCGACAGCTCGTTTGAAACGGCTTTTACATCAATTTTGGATTATTAGAGCTGGGGCTTCATTAGAATCAGGAGCAGATAGATGTATTTAGGTGCTTTTTTTTTTTAGAAAAAATTATGTATTTTCTCCTTCTTCAACTGCGGACCACCTCATTTATTGATAGCTGTTGCGGTGAGAATGTCACATTCATTGTCCAGTAGCATGCAGAGATCATTTGAAAGACAACGGTAGAACCCGCCCCACAACCGAGAGCCGTCAATGGAGCGTGGCCAGACTAAATAATACATTTATGTAGTCTGGCTTGCCAGGCTAGGAATTAACTAAAGGACCATCAAAGTCTGAGGAGTTGCGCCGAGGTCACATGCTTTCTGCACCACAGGTAACAACATTTCACGTAGGGTTTTATTAAACTACTGACAGTCACGGTGATGGGGTATAAAACTACCCTGAAATGTATGTGTACTGCCCCCTAGCACCAGCAAACTACACACCGCCACTTAAGCCTGGGGCACACCAGAGGCAGGCAGACGTGCCATGTCGCACTCGCAGTTTTGAGAAGTCAAGTGGTCACACAGGACACGCCGCCCCGCTAAGCGCTTCTTGGAAAGTCGCGCGACAGTCACAACATCACGCGGGACTTAAGAACAGGAAGTGGGAAGTGACTATATTGTTCATACTTGCCGTCGTGTTTTGGGAGAATGTAATCCATTAAAAATGGGTAAGCCCGTAATTTATTAGAAGATTATAAGAACAATAGTACTTTAAAGTTATCGAAACTGCGGCTGGGTTTGTGCCGTAAAGCCGTTCTGCATCGTAATGTCTGCTGTAAAGTACTCCACAATGTTGTAAACAGTTGCGGCACCGCTTGAGATAGAACTGGCACCCATCTTCAGCGCCTTGGAGCGGCGCTACCCGTGTAGCTTCTCTCAATAACTATAATGGCTTCTGTTTAAAATGACTGTGGCGACCGATCTGCGTACCGCGTGCGTGCCAAATCGATTCGTTCGGATCACAGATCATTAATAATAAAAATAATAATAATGATGATCCGTTGCATCCCTACTTGCCTCTGTTCTGATTCGCAGCACTTTGGCTAATGTCTGGCACAAGCAAGCATGCCATATTATGTAATATTTGTGGCCGTTGTTAACCGATTTTCCTTTTTTCAACAACTATGGATATTTAAACTAGTTTGCACCGATTTTAAATCGATTCTCGGAGCATCGTTAAGTTCCTGGTGTTAAAGTGATTTTCGAAAGGTGAGTGATGTTAAAACCTACAACTTCAGGAACTTTTTCCTGGTCTAAAAACATTAGCAGCTCCCACAGCAGCAGCTGCCATCACATCACTTTCACTTCCAGTTGGGCTTAGTGGCTTTACACATATAAAAGCCATCTGAATGTGTCAAAAGCAGCTAAACCTGGAATGCTGCATCGCTCCAAACAGCTGAAATGGCTTCACCTTTGATTATGGGCTTCACATCCTGAGTTTGCATCGAGGAATGAGCCGTCTCAGGTCTGAGACTTTGACTATGTGAAGCCACTTCTTCTTGTTTTACTGGCGTCACACATTTGGCCGACTTGTCCTCATCCATCAGCTCTTTCTTCACCACCACACGACTCTGAGAGCTTCTCAAATGTAGGTCAGTCTCATTGGTGCGCAGGGTTTGTGCTCCCTGCCTTTTCCCCCGCTGGACATTTTGTTCTTCAGATTCTTTCCTGGAAGGAGTTTGTGGCTTCTTCTGGAAAAAGTTGGTTAAAATGGAGTTGCTGGGGCTTTGGCCCTTCTCTCTGGGAGTTTTACATTTGGCAACTGAAGCTGGGGTCTTGGGATATATTGGAGGAGACTCAAAGTTTGCTTTTGACAACTCCTGCCTGGAAAGAGAACAAAAGCAAACTAAGTGAGAGAAAAAGTTTAGCACACAATTTAAACTGTTCACAGTTTGTGCAACGGAGTAGAAATTCCCTTAAAAGGCAGATGGGGACCATTAAAAACACAAAGACCAAATGCACCAGCAACAGTTTGTGACAGTATAGGTCTTTGGAGGAAAACTCCATCTGCTTAGCTTTCTAGTTGCTTTTCTACTGAGGAGGCGCTCTGGCTGCAGTCTTGGAAAAGTAGAAAGCAAACAAACTGCAGCTGGGACATTGCTTGGCAATAAAAGGGAATCAATGAGGTGTGTGATGTTCTGCTTTCCATATTTAAAACTTATTTGTGCTTACTGTTCCCATTAGACTGGGTCCATGCCCATGAACGCGTGTGCCCAGAGATGCGCGCACACACTCAGACGTAAATGTGTTGTGGACGCCGCTCGTCTAATTACAAAGACCTCCTGGTAGCATCCATCTGTGACACCTGCACCAACTCCAACATTTAGACTAAGCAACACCATTAAAAAAGAATGAAATACCAAAATCATAATGAGTGATGAGTTGCTGGTCTTATTACTGTTTAAAACTACCCCTGCAGCAATTTGGAACCCATTAACTTTTCATCCGTAATCAAAAGGTGAGCAGTAGTGTTTGTGCTGTTGTGTTGTTGGGAAAATGACTAAAAAACAGGACGGGTTTGAATAAAACTCCCAGACAGCCTTCAGTGGATATCTGCCTACAGCTGATTATTTTTTGGAGTCAATTAGATTCAAGATGGCCCCTGAAGCTAATGAAGCTTAGTGGACACAAAAATGGCAAAAACCCATTTGATCTTACAGATAATCGAATAAATGTAGGCGTTATGTTACCAAAAACCATTATTCTGTTTTATCAGCGTTGACTTGGCTTCAAACTATCACAAAGCTAATAAAACAATTACCACCATAATTACCAATTACCCGAATATAAGACCAGGTTGTTTTCATTGAAAATAATTTCATAATGCGGGGTCTAAGCATTTACACATGATGATTTTTGTCTGGGGTCATTACACACCCGTAACAGAAGAGGGCGCCAGGCTGTGTGTTCTCAACAAAAGAAAAAATGGAAACGAGAGGTCCGGAGCAGAGTGGATCGAAAGTGGGACTAGGTAGCACCCTATAAGGCAGAGTTATGCGAATTTTAAGAAGACGGTGGTCAAATCAGCAGAGGCCTCAAGCATTGCATGCATGGATGCCTTAGATGGCAGTGAGGATGACGTTCTGGGAGGAGTCGGCAGGTGTAGCGATCTGATGGTACACCGGGACCGCAGCAGCATGAGTGAGAATGAGAGAAAGTAGCTTACAGCGAGGCAGCGGGTGTCGGAATAAAAGCCTCATGTGACTTTTGATTTCACGTGTCAGCAAAGTTCTGATAGTTTGCATTAAAATAGTATTTTTGCTCAGTATTTGTTCTCAAATTTTCAATAAAAATGGTTTACTTAAAAAGTGATTTTATTTTTTTATATTTTCCTGAAGATTAGTCTTGGAAAGGAAGATCGTCTTGTAATCAGGGTCGTCCTATATTTGGGTCAATACGGTACTTTTCATGATTTGCTTGGTGTCCAGTCTTCTTTTATTGTGTCATCCCTTCTGAATGGCGTCCGCCACCATCAAAGATTAAAGCTTCTCTTTTTGTTTTTAAATACTGGACTGAGTTTAATTGGTTGGACTCTAAAATGGTTTTAAACTAATTCATGCATCTTTTAAATACGTTTCCTTAATCCTTCTAATTCTGCCTGATGGACATTTTTATGTTGGTCGTTGTTGATTCTAGTACAGAAAACTTATTTACTCTCACATGACTTAAAATCATGTAAATGTTTATTTATAATCGGTGGTTTCTGTGATTTAGACCATCTACAAGTGTGTGAATCAGAAGATCTTCTAGTAACTTTGTGTCAATCTAGAAGCTTCTTGCACTTTTCTTTTTGCCGGTTAGATCTGACTCTCTTCCTCTGCTCAGCACTTTAGCTCTTTTAAATTTTCATGAGTTTGGATGGAAACTGATGGAGCCAAATCAAGTATACCAATTTTAGTCTCATTATAAAGAGAAGAGTCCACCTAATATTAGAATTAGGACCTCTAACAGGAAGTTCTGAGTGCAGTCCGTACTGAGTCGCTGAGAAGAAACGATGAGTGTTTGAGAAGATGCGGACGCAACAAATGTTTTCATCACAGCTCTACAGCAGAGACGTTATGCATGCATTAGTAAATAATTACTTGTGGAAAATTTTGAACTGAAAACCAAAAACTGTTTTGTAGTTTTTAGAGTGAATGCACAGCGGGAAACAAGAACACACAAAGTAAAGAAGAGATGTTTAGGACAGCAAACTGAAACTGCAGCATTAGCAGTAGCATTTATTTTACAGTAATGCATGCACTCATGGTATGCCTGAGTGCAGCTCAGTTTCTGAGAGCAGAAACTACACACTGGCCAACAGTAGCGATATAAAACGAAGCCCTCTGATAACGGCTAATGGTTTGGTCCTGAAAATAGGCCTCCATTTTAACGGCAGTCAATTATGGAGCCATCTTCCACCTAATGCAGTGTTTTCATGCTGAGAGGCCCACAGGCAGGCAGAAGTGATCCCACACAGGTACCGAGGCTGAAGAAACACCAACCAGCAGAGGGATGTGCGTGTGTGTGTGTGTGTGTGCGTGCGTGCGTGCGTGTGTGTGTGTGCATGCGTGTGTGTGTGTGTGTGAGAGAGACATCCTCTCAACAGCTGATGTGCAGAGTGCTGGTTCTCATAGAGAAATAGAAACAATAAAAGACGCAGATGAAATGTGTTGTTTGTTCTTCTGGACTTAAACAATGCTGCCTGGCGGGGTTCCACCCAGGGAAGCTCTGCCATCATGTGCTCAATGTGAGACAACAGGAAATTAAACAGCAGAGGGCTGAACAGCAGCGTAATTCACTTATTCATAACAGCGATGACAATCAGAGGGTTGGAGAGTGCGGTGATTGATGGAGGAGACAAACACAACAGTCTATTGGCTGATGACAGTATTTAACTGATGCATTTTACCTCAAACATCAAAGAGAATATTAAAGAAACTATTATGGTAATAGGTTGAAGTTGCTTCAGCCATTAAGAAAACTCATTTGTTTCAAATCTGTGTAATCTGCAAGAGGCACAATATTTGCAATGACAAAAGCAAACCTTAATGTTTTTGCCTGTGTGTGCGTGCCTGTGCGCGTGTGTGTGCATTAGAGCTGTGGCGACGCATCGATGACGTCGACGGCTCGATTCTAAAAATTCGTCGACGTCAGATCTGGTAGTCGAGGCACCACGCCCACTTGTTGCATCCCCAGGAGTTTGTAAATGGAGGAGGAATCTGCCTGTTTTTCCTCTAGTTTTTCCTCTAGTTCGTCCTGTTATCCCGATGACGATAATTTTTCGATATATTGTGCAGCCCTAAAATCTAGTGTATTTATTTTGTGTGTAAGATCATTTAGCATCTGGTGACTGAAAGCTCTGCCCACGTGTTTAATGTTACCATGACAGTTTCATCTGTCTGGATGTGTGTATTTCTCTACACTGAGTCACATCTCACATGAGGACAAACTCAAAAACTCAAAGCCCTTCCCATAATCCTCCAGCCCAGCTCTGGACGCCACTGCCCACGGGAGCATTGTTATAAAAACATATCCCTGAAGCTACAGAACACACAAGTATGTGCACAAGTAAAAACTCAATAAATGACCTCATCTGATGAAAACTAAATCCACATTTGATTTAGAGAAAATCTGTTAATCACCAGTGAGATTACTGTAAGTCAATTATGGTTCCTGAAACCCTGCTGGCACGCTGCCTTGTGGTCAGACGGCGTTATCCCGTCAATAACAGAGGGAGTCCATGAAATCACCACAGTAATCAGTTTTCTTCTCAGGTCTTTGGAGGATGAAACTAGAAAAGGAGAAGGTATTGAGGTAACAGAGCTGTGTTTATTGTGGAGTTGGCCTTGCTTCCTGATTGTTTCTTATTATTTCTTCCTATAAGTTTAATGAACACACTCATACATCTTACAACGTGTTTCAGTAAAGATCCCATTAGGGGCCGGATTATGGAAAATCCACTTTTTGGAGCTTTTTACTGAGTGATATTGTTATTTCCTCATCCAAATAAAATAACCACATGTTTTTGGCTGCATTCATGCATTTTCCTGTTTCTGCTACAAATTTTGACTTTTACTTTGAAAATCCTGTAAAGCCTCAATGGAAACCAATCTCATCATCAGGCCCTGCTCCTCTCCCGGAAGCTAGTCTGGTGTGAAACCTGTCTCCCTGGCCAGCTCAGGATATGTAGCTTAGGCGACTGATATCCTGTAACAGACTTGGTAGTCTAGTGGTTAAAGTTTGAATATGGAACATTTTAATAAAAAGCTATATTAAAAAAAAAGATAATACCTCAGCGGGGCACTCAGAGGTGTGCAGAATGGGTGTACAGTTTCTCCTTTAAAGGCTATGTTTAAAAAATGTTATTCTGTCGGGCACAACACTGTGATTATGATCTGCCAGCCACTAGAGGGCACAGTGTAAAATGGCAGACATGACAAGTCAAGCAGCTGATTCTGAGCCCAGAAGATGTTCTAACGGTAAACAGTGGTGGAAAATAAACGTATAAGTAGAAATTAGTCCTTGTCCTGTACGATTTGTCTCTGAACATGGTGCTGGAACGTGTCAGCAGTGAACCAACGTCCCAACGGCTGGAAAGTTAGTCCTGCTGTTGCAATACCACCTCTTAACACCAGAGTTCACCAGATTATCTGTGCTCCATAGTCAACCTTTAAAGTGTCGGCATAGGTTCATCTCCTGGTTGTGCAGCAACTATCTTTCTTATTTTTTTAGCTACACTTGCCACTATTATGTTTTCGACCAGTTATTGGTAAACTGTTTAAAAAGTAAGAAACAACCTTTTTTTTTTTTTTTTTTTTACTTTCTTTGTTTAAGTAGCCAGTGCGAGTCCATGTGAGGTGAGAGGAGTAAAACAACGAAAATGCTGATTGGAAATGACCAAATTCAAAGATATTTAGAGACTAAATATTTTGCAGAAAATAATCAATAAAATCAAAATATAAACACTTCAGCTGGCTAAATGGAAGTCGAACAGACATCAGCACATGGCAAAAAAAAGTGAAAGTTTAACCTTAGCTACCAATACAACAGCAGGCTAGCCTAAGACGCTGCTGTAGGTGCATTTTGTCGGAGTGGACGTGGGTGGAGCTTCATTGAAACAAAGCAGGGGTGTCAAACATGCGGCCCGCGGGCCACATCTGGCCCGCGAGATGGTTGTGTAAACTTTATTTTCATATTTTACAATGTAGTGAAAATAAACTTATCTTTGTGAGCAAGGTTTCTCTGTAATGAGTATAAATAAAACAAAGCTGCGCTCAAGGCTCACACAAGAACTTGAATCACATCCTGAAGTTGGCCGCCACTCGGGGTGTGACTCCTGATATTGATGTGCTGGTGAAAGCTAAAAGATGTAAAGTAAAATGAGTCAAATATACTTTAAGTGCTGCATGAAACTGATCTAGCCATGTGATCTGTAAGCTCTTTGAATCACTAAGGAATGTTTTTTTTTATTTGTTGATTTTTATTTATTTTTTTTTTCAAATTTTCAAGTACACTTCAGGTGTTGTACTTGTACTACACTGCCCTCAGGCTCCAGCCTTGTTTTATATTGATTGTATTAAAACAAAGAAAACAATCTGACATATTTTTTTAATTTACCGGTCCGGCCCACATGGGACTACATTTCCCTCAATGTGGCCCCTGAGCTAAAATGAGTTTGACACCCCTGAAACAAAGCATTTAGTTTCCTGGTATTAATTTAGGCTGACAAAAATAACTCGTATTTTAGATAAATCACAGTAGTGCCAACGGCAATATTTCATTACATATATTGGTGAAATTCTGGTGATACGATACGTATCACAATACAGGGGAGACGATATAATGTATCGCGGTATATTCAGCCAGACGATATAAGCGGTATTTTTAGACTCAATTAATTATAGGAAAATTCAATAAACAGCACAAACCGATACATAACATGTTTAACATGAGGTATCTGAACCATAATAGAGAGATTTACATTTCAATGGTGGAAACAAACCCTTTGCACACGGTTGCCAACTAGCGGTCGACGTTTGAATTGCACCAAAAGAAAAGAAAATACACAAATATTTGCATGAAAATTCTTCAAAAGATTCAATACATGGCTTTTGAATATCAATAATGCAGGAAAAAAATCATGATATATTGCAGCATCGATATTTTGGGGGCCTGGGGGCTCGGGGTTTGGGGGTGGCCGGCCCCGTGTGGGGATATGGGCTGGGCCTTAGTGGTCGGGTCCTGACATGTATGCTGCCGGGAAGAAGGCAGGAACACTCAGCAGTGCCTGGCCCGGGTTCGGGGGCATCAGGTAGACCTTGGCTCCTCTGCCGTTCCATCACAGGGGAGGGGGAGGTCCAGGACGGGGAGGACCAAACCTTACCTGGATGTCCCATGTCTTATATATTCTGGAAGTTGTGCAAATGCAGGGGTGGGCATAGATATTCTGCTGGGATGGGGCTGGGTTGGTGCCCTCGGACTCCGTGAGGCTCTGTAATGCTGCTGCTTTGGGCCCTGGCAGGATGGGCTGGGGGTCTCCATGCCCTGGGTGGCAGTTTGACAACAGAGGTGCCTATTGGGGCCAGTAGGGGAGCTGGCTCCCTGGAGGGCTAAGCCCAACCAGCCATTCCTCCCCATCCCCATCCCCGCATATTTCTCTCCTCCTGCTCCCTCACATCATCACACAAACATACACATAGGACCTTGGGGGGTGGGCAAGTCAGGGAGTGCGGGTATGGACCCCATTTCCGCATTCCTGTGGCAACCTGCCCCCCAATTTTATTTGCACCTTATACACTTCCACTGACGACATTCCACACAAACACACACTTAGGGCCTTGGGAGTGAGCACATTCAACAGCATTTGGCAGGGGGATATTTCAGCCTCCTCCCGAGTGCCGGTGCCCACTTCCAATTTTAAACCGCACTTAGACACTGATGGCTGAGGGTGTAAGTGGGGTGGTGCGGTGGCATCAGCTGGCATATGCCGGATGATGCCCGCACTGCCCACTCACCACAGCCATGGAATACACCTCATGATCACACAACACTATATTGGAGCAGGTGGAGGGAGACTAGGGGTCTTAGCCACCTCTGTTGTTGCTAGGCTTCCTGGGGCTGGAGGCTAGGAGGGAGATCTGGCCGTCTGGTTGGGGTCTGGGGCGGTGGGTTGCTGTGCTCAGCGTTGGGCGGGGGAGCCTGCTCATCAGCACCCCAGCAGAAAGGGTCAAACTCTGGTTACCGGTGATGGTTGTACCCCATGTGCAGCAGTACCGGGACCAGAGTTAATAGGGTGTGTATGGGGAGCATGAGTGAGTGTCCGGCGTGCATTTTTGTAAGTCTTGGGTTGTATGTGCATGTGTGAGCATGAGGGAGGGAGTGTGTGACTGTGTTTGTGTATGACTGTATATGTCAGGTGGGGCCTTTGGGTCCTCCCCTCTCCTGGAACTTCTCTTGATATATAGATCTTTGTCCCCCCTCCCCCTGCCACACCTGGTGTGGGGGCTTGTGCCATGGTCTGCCTGAGTGTTCGTGGCAACCGGGTCTGGGGGTTTAAGATTTTGGCATCTGCCTGATAGATCCCGGTGGCTGCCTGGTGGGGTCTGGGTCCCTGGGCTCTGCTGGGTCCCCGGCGGGGGTGGTCACCCCTGGGTCCCGGGTCGCTGGGTCCCGGGCTCGGCCGGCTAGGGGGTGGGAGGCTTTGGGCGGGCCTGTGGGCTTGCCGCTGATATCTCCAGGGACTCTGCCGGCTGCTGGTTGTGGCCCCCCGGGGCGATCCTCTGTGCCTCTCGAGGGGGGCGGGGGCCTTTCTGGTTGCAGTCTCCTTGGGGTTCCTGCATTCTGGGGCAACGCCTGGATCTCTGGGACTTGGAGCTCCCCCCCGTCTCCTGCGCATCTTTGGGGGGCGGATCTGTGGTCCCTCACACTCTCTGTTGGACGCTCCTATAGAGAAACCTTAAATAAACAAGCGCGTGTACACACACAGGTGCTCACATGGTGCTCTCAAAATTATGGGCTTGGGCACGTTCAACACATGTCTTAAGACTATGGGGGGCACTTAATGCATTGTGATTTATTATCGTGATTCTTCAGTTAACCAATGTTGATTATATATATATATATATATATATTGTTTTTTTTTTTCATCAAGTTGACGCAGTGATAGGTAGATCTTGTTGTATTGTTGTTGTGTCCCTTTTTTGTGTCCTTTTGTTTTTTTTTTGTCTTTTTCTGCAGGTCTAGAAGCAGACTCTTGTTCATTGTTTATTTTTGTGGAACCCCCCCCCCCCCCCCTCCTCCTCCTCTCTCTCCACCTTTTCTCTTCCTTTCTCTTTCACCTCTGTCTCCGTGTCTGGTCGGAATTACAAAGCATTCAACAACAATAACAATAAAGTTTTAAGTATCAGGCGTGACATTAAAAGCAAACGCTTTGATGCTCCACCTGAGAATAAATCTGTAAGGCTTGTCACCAGCATTCAGATATTAATTCTGCTTGCTTCACAGCCAGACAGGACACGGTAATAAAAAAAAGAAAAAGAAAAAAAAAGAAAAATGAATTGCACCAAAAGAAAAGAAAATACACAAATATTTGCATGAAAATTCTTCAAAAGATTCAATACATGGCTTTTGAATATCAATAATGCAGGAAAAAAATCATGATATATTGCTGCATCGATATTTTCTTACATCCCTATTAATAACATAAGAAAATATAAATTGAAATCCCCCTTTTAACATCATCTGTCCAGAGTGTGTTACCTTGCAGTTTGAAAGTTTAGAACCAAGTCGTCCAATAAGCGGTTGTTTCTTAGGTCTTGTTCTGTCAATGGCTGCAAGAAAACAAAAATAGATGTATGAAAATGTATCAATTAGGACACATTTCACCATCTACATCACTCCAGATTTATTTGAGTGTTCAACAAAATGTCTGATGCATTGTTTTCCCAACACTCTTTGTTTTGTACAAGGATAATAAAGAGGAAAAGATCAGAAAACCCACTCATCAATGAAGCAGGAACATGACTACATTAGGAAAATTTGCCTAATTAGCAGATGATAAGAACAGTTGATTAATATCCTGAATGTATTGTCACTGTTCGAATAACAAACATTAAAACCATGCTCACACTTACTGTATTACAAAGGGGACACAGCAGCTTGTAGGAGAGAAATTTCCTGATGCACAGAGAACAAACTGGAATAAAAGGTGCAGAACTCAGGTTTGTATTTCATCTCAAAGCAAAAAGTTCACATTTATCTGCAAGTTACTTTAAGATCGTTTAAATACATTCCCTTTTTTGTTTTGCTGCTGAGTTTGTGAGTACTGACGCAGTACCGATGCATGGTGGGCTTTATGCAGAGGTGGGATAACTCTTACAAACACATTTTATCACTCATTTTTTACATATGACTCACCGGTAAGAGAATTTACCGTGTTTTCCGGACTATAAGCTGCTACTTTTTTCCCACGCTTTGAACCATGCGGCTTTTAACGAGGTGCGGCTTTAGTCAACCAGAAAGGATGGATGCAGGAAAGTCTAATGAAGGAATGGTTAAAGGAGTGCTACGGAAAGCGGCCAGGAGGATTTTTTTCACAGTAAAACGGCGCTGCTTGTTTTCCCAGCTTCACCCGGGGATGATGACAGCAACACGAAGAGCGACACTGACATCGCCACAGAAAAGGTATGTGATGAAGCTCTTCTGAGGCTGTTCAACTCCGACACTGAAGAAGAGGACTTCAGTGGTTTCAGTGCGCAGGACAATGAATAAACCAATCAATAACTTTTCTGTTTTGTTTGATACTGATCAGTTACGTTCAGTTAAACTACGTTTTCAATTCAGTAGATATCTGCGGCTTTTAGCCCGGTGCGGCTTATATTGAGGTGTGCTCTATAGTCCGGAAATTACGGTATTCAGCAGATGTTTTATTTTGGATGAAAAGAACAAAATGTCATCATCTCAGTTGGAATAAAGTGATTTAAAATCTGGAGGATTTATTTGTAAAACAGAAACATCAAACATTATTTGGGTTAAAGTGGATGTTAGGTGCTTTAAAGCTGACTTTCAGACATGAGGTGACATTTCCATATGTAAATTTTTTTTAACGCCAAATTCACTTGTTTTTATTTTATTTTTATGAATGCCTTGTGGGTCAATTTCTGTGGGGAAAAAAAGCTCTGGCGCTCCTGTTCCAGGAACTAGAAGTGAGCCACAGCAGACGTGAGCAGATTTGGGGGTTTTATTTAGGACACTCTACCACCGACTGTGTTTGCTTTGTTTAATCTCCTCAAATAACTCAAGCCTGAAGGAGTTCTGCCGTGAAGTGGAGTTGCTAATGGTTAGCTTCTACTTGCAGAGACGTTCTCGGCTGTTTCCTGAACTAACAACAGCCTTCTCTGTCATGAGTCAAGATGGGCGAGTCCATGAATGTTAAGTGACAGTGTGACATAGTTCTGACTTGCTTTTCTAATCCAAGGGTTTCTCTGTCTAGTTTCTATCGGGAGCTAATGCAGGAGACGGCCTAACTCAGAGCGACCGTATTAAAAACCATATATACAGGGGTGCACATAATATTTATGGGTTGGTACTCAGGGGAGAACCTATGGTTGTTGCTTGGTCCTCACATTTTTAATGCACTTAATTCTTAACCCAACTCACAATAGGAACAAAACAGAGTAACGCGCTGACAGTGCAACACATTTTTAGTTTGACTGAAAACAATAAGCACAAGTACATATTGCCAGCTTAACTTAAACCTTCTAATTTTCAGACAAAATGACTGAATTGTCTGAATGTAAAACACAATGTGTAAACAGCTGCTTTTGTGATAACAAAAATCTATTGAATTTTAAAGCCCTTAACAAAATTACTATTTCTGAGCACTGAAGTTTTTAAAATGGCATAAATGTCGTTTTTATTTCTACAGACTCATCATCATCCTCCTCACAATCCTGACTGGCTTCCTCCAGTTCACACACAGCAGAGGGCAACTTTCTGATGTTCTCTGCTGTTAGAATGTTTATCAAACGCTGGATGACTGAAGTTTTTAGTGCCTATGTAAAAGGCGCTGTTTTCGTCTGCCAGGGTGGGATTTTCACGGCATAATCTGCATCACATCTCTGTGCGTTCATCGTTTGTTTGAAGCCAGCCGACCTCCTGCAGCCACTTCTCCGTGAATACTCTTTTCTTTTGCGTTTCCGACTCAGTCTGGCGTTTTCTGGAGGCGGAGGAACACCAAAATAATTACTTAATGGAGCTTGCTTCTTGGACATCTTTAAAATGCTCCAGAAATGTCTTTCTTCCTCCACAAAATCTTAGGTGTGCAAATGCGTGCTGCAGCTTTTTTCAGGTGCGCATTGTTTCTTTTGACAGCGCATGCGCACCTGCGGACCACTTATGTGCACACCTGTATATATACAGGTGCTGGCCAGTAAATTAGAATATCATCAAAAGGTTGAAAATATTTCAGTAATTCCATTCAAAACGTGAAACTTGTACATTATATTCATGCAATGCACACAGACCAATGTATTTCCAATGTTCATTACATTTAAATTTGATATTCATAAGTGACAACTAATGAAAACTCCAAATTTGGTATCTCAAAAAATTAGAATATTCTGAAAAGGCTGAATATAGAAGACACCTGCTGCCACTCTAATCAGCTGATTTACTCAAAACACCTGCAAAGGCCTTTAAAAGGTCCCTCAGTCTTGTTTTGAAGGCACCACAATCATGGGGAAGACTTCTGACTTAACAGCTGTCCAAAAGACAATCATTGACACCTTGCACAAGGAGGGCAAGACACAAAAGGTGATTGCTAAAGAAGCTGGCTGTTCGCAGAGCTCTGTGTCCAAGCACATTAACAGACAGGCGAAGGGACGGAAAAAATGTGGTAGAAAAAAGTGTACAAGCTCTAGGGATAACCGCACCCTGCAGAGAATTGTGACGACAAACCCATTCAAAAATGTGGGGGAGATCCACAAAGAGTGGACTGCAGCTGGAGTCAGCGCTTCAAGAACCACCACGAGGAGACTCATGAAAGACATGGGATTCAGGTGTCGCATTCCGTGTGTCAAGCCACTCTTGAACAAGAAACAGCGCAAGAAGCGTCTCGCCTGGGCCAAGGACAAAAAGGACTGGACTGATGCTGAGTGGTCCAAAGTTATGTTTTCTGATGAAAGCAAGTTCTGCATTTCCTTTGGAAATCAAGGACCCAGAGTCTGGAGGAAGAGCGGAGAAGCACAGAATCCACGTTGCATGAGGTCCAGTGTAAAGTTTCCACCGTCAGTGATGGTGTGGGGTGCCATGTCATCTGCCGGTGTTGGCCCACTCTGTTTCCTGAGGTCCAGGGTCAATGCAGCCGTCTACCAGGAAGTTTTAGAGCACTTCATGCTTCCTGCTGCTGACCAACTTTATGGGGATGCAGACTTCACCTTTCAACAGGACTTGGCACCTGCACACAGTGCCAAAACCACCAGCACCTGGTTCAAGGACCATGGTATCCCTGTCCTTGATTGGCCAGCAAACTCGCCTGACCTTAACCCCATAGAAAATCTATGGGGTATTGTGAAGCGGAGGATGCAATACGCTAGACCCAACAATGCAGAGGAGCTGAAGACGACTATCAGAGCAACCTGGGCTCTCATAACACCTGAGCAGTGCCACAGACTGATCGAGTCCATGCCACGCCGCATTACTGCAGTTATTGAGGCAAAAGGAGCCCCGACTAAGTATTGAGTGCTATACATGCACATTCTTTTCATGTTCATTCTTTTCAGTTGGCCAACATTAGAGAAACAAACATTTTTTCATTGGCCTTTAGAATATTCTAATTGTCTGAGATACCAGATTTGATGTTTTCATTGGTTGTCACCTATAAATATCAAAATTAAACGTAATAAACATCGGAAATACATTGGTCTGTGTGCATTGCATGAATATAATGTACAAGTTTCACGTTTTGAATGGAATTACTGAAATATTTTCAACCTTTTGATGATATTCTAATTTACTGGCCAGCACCTGTATATCTGTTTCACAATGAACTAGGTCTTTAAGCTCCTGTGATATAAATATTCTGACAATACAAACTTATTTTATTCTGATAAAGATCTTTTATCTTCCTGCACTCAGAATGAGCAGGAGCTTTTCTTTTCTCTCTTGTCCTTTATCATCCCAAGGCTTTGTCTCGGAGCAATTGTTTGGATTCTTTCTGGAAATTTTTACATTTTAAAACCATAAGCTGGCCTTTGAATGCAATTCATACAATTTTTTTCCAACATTCACAATAGAGAAGGGAGCGCCCACATGCCCAGACGAAACGCACATGGTTGCACACATTTTGGGTTCCTGGTAGGAGTGGAATATTAAGTGTCTTTTATTGTTTTATATGGAGAATGCAGAAGACGTATGGATATTTGTATTTATGGTTACCACATTTCTGCTAATTGGAGTGGGTGGCAGTGTTTCCCCTACATAGACTCAGGCGTGGGGCTGCACACAGTGCACGCATGCACCCGCACAACAACTATTACTATTTCGGTTTTGTCCCCTCTGGCCACCTACACCCTCCCTAAACTGTTTACAACTCATCCTCAGTCCCCATAGCTTTTATTTTGGCTGTCTTTTTCATAACCCATCCCCTCCACTAGTCTCCTACCACTTTTACTAATAACTGATAGTTTATTGTACTGCTGTTTTATATCATGTGTTACTGTAATTATGTTGATCATTGTATGCTTGTTTTTGTCTGAGGAACACTTAGGGACAAGTGCGATATAAAAAAACTTCTTAATTTAGGATCCATTAAGGTTTTGTTAAAACATCCCATGTATCATTGATGAATATTGCAGGGAAAAGCATGTTTGGTAAATAAGCACGTGGTTTTATATTACCTGTTAAGAGCAGTCAGATTTCCTGACACACCAAAGTGACGTGAATCTCTTACAGAAACAAGAGAAAGCTTTCCTCTTAAACTTATTGCCCACTTTGTCCTCGACGGGGAAAACAATTAACAGACGAGTTTGTGCAGGAGAACCAAGATTTATGTCCTAAAATAACGTTTCAAAGATTGGTATCTTCTGGAGGAAACAGAAGGTGGCTCTCAGAGGCAATAGCAAGTGGACTTTTGATGAAGAGCATCTTCTCCCATTGGAGCTATACTAAAAGAGACTGAAGGGTTCAGATTTAAACATTGAGGGACGCTTTCAGCAAACCCACAACAACTTCTCTAGAAATTGGTTTGAGGAGTACAGCAGCTGTTATGAAACTATACGAAAAAATGATAAAAATGACAAGAATAAATAAATTAGATAAAGCATTTCATAATACAACAATTAAATAGATACAATTACTATATTGAAATATTTAAAAAGACCTGAAAGATGGAATAAATTAAACTTTCACTAATTCCATAACAGCTTCTTACAGCAGCTGTTAGAATGCGTTTCTTTGTTGCCCACCTGCCTACAAACTTAAACACACAGTTGGACGGAGCCTTTCATTGTGCTTTTAAAGAGAATTCCAGCAGTTTTCTTAAAGATTTTACTCTATTTTGCGTAACTAACAGCCACTCTGAGGTCTTTATTTCACACACGATGACACCGCTTTCCCAGATCTCTAATGAGCGTGTATTTATTCTAAAAACGTCTCAGCTTGATACTTACAATTGTGTGAGCACTTAGTCATCATTGTAATGTTGAGGAAGTCGAAGCAAATGGGACACCGAAGCAAAGTATCAATGCTCTGTGGATGAAAAAAGAAAAAGTGTCAAGACATTCTGCAGCACAACAGTGTCTGGTCTCGTCTACCACAAGTACTAATGAGGAATGTGTTTGAGAATCTGACCATAAAATGTGTCAAAGCTCGTGTAAACGGCAGCAAATGCTCAGCTGGTGGCAGTGATTTCACGTGCTAAATTTCTAGCTCACCATATAAAGTCAGAATGTTGTTTTTGATCAGCATTGTTTTGGTTATTCTTTGTAGAAATCTGTAAGTGCTGATATAAAAGATCATTTGACTAATGCATCCAGTAGCAGGTAATTATTTTTGCTGAACCAAAAAGTACATGAGTTTTGTATTTTATTCATAAAGTAACATTCGTTTCTCAATTATTCTGCTTTATAGATAAAATTGACGCAATAAAATGTAACGATTGGAACGTTTTCACAATCTCAAATGTTAAACCAGTCACCAATTTAGTAGTGATGTGTTACTGTAGATAAAAGCCCTTCACAAACAAAGAGCACAACAAGCAGAAACCTGTAATAAATTTTTCTAACCACTAAATTATGTTAGAGCATCTCTAGTTATGAGTTTGCTAAACCACAGCCGAGTTAGTTGCCATTAGGTAACGTAATATAAATACACAAATAAGGCCAGACAGTTACAGCACAAATACCTAAATTAATTTCTACATAAGTACCTTTAAAATTACAACTTTTGGCGTGTTTTGCGCGGGTGCTAGTTGAAACATTAGCTGTTGCCACCGGCTGTTGCGCAACCCTTAGCTTCGGAGCTACGTGGGAATGTAAACAAAACCCGAATGTTTTTACGATAAAACAGTGATTACTTACTTTCAGACATGCTAAGCTAGGCGGGAAATCCTCTGCGGTCTGATGGGCCATGTCTGCGAGACACGTTTCTGATGTATAACAAAGTTTATCACACAGATTCAGGGGTCAGTATCCCGCTCGAAAGGATGCAAACTGACGTCAATTAACAACTTCCGCCGTCGCGCCGAGACGTTTACTGCTAGTCGCGGAGCTGGGACGACTTACGGAACACTGCCCACAATTTTAGAAAGAATTTAGGACTAGAAACCATGAAATATGTATTTTCTAATTCGTTTGTCACTCACTTCTTTTTACTTTTTGTTTCTCTATTGGGGAAATCAGAATTTTCAGCATAGATGAAAGAAAAGCAGAAACTAAGGACATAAATTTGGATTATCTTATTTCTGAGGTACATGTAATGCATCACAAAACCAAATGAAGTTTGTGGACAATAAAACTGTTATTTTCAAAAGAAAAAGCTGTTTTTTAGTGCTGATATTTCAGTGTTTCGATTGATCACATCAATTCTGACATGAATATAAGGTTTGAGTAAAATAATTTAAAAATAATTAGATTATTGATTGAATTCTGTTCTAAAGTTTCTTTGACGTGTCACAATATAGGCTAAGTCTTTGTTATTGTAGTTATTTTAACGTTTGCCTCACAGTACTTTCTTTAATAGTGTATCAGATTCCCAATTAAGTTGTCTTTCTTTTAATAAATGTTTTCATTATTGCAATTTCAGTTAAAACCCTACATATTCTTAATGTTTTATTGTTGTGAGCTCTGGCGTGCATGCTATATTTCATAGTAAATGTGGAGGTTTCCCCCTTAATAAGATGCATAAATGTTTCTTGCAAAATGTACAACTCTAATAATAGGCTGACAAATAGAAAAAGTTAAATACACTTGTTTTGTTGCAGGGTAAGAAAGAATTTCTATGTTCCACCAGAAAACCAGTGAATAGAGAAAATGTGTATTCTAGAACAACTGGCTCAGTTTTGTAGTGAAATAGAGTGATGTAACGATCTAGAGTTGTATTTTAATATACTGTAAGTAGATCTAGTTTTTATAATCAGAAGAATAGGTTGTTTTTATCATCAGGGAGTTCATTTAACACTCTGTATTGACCTTGAGACAAGAAAAGAGAGAGTTGGGATCGTTTAAGAATTTTATTATAAATTCTACAATCTATCAGGACTAACTCTGTGTTGTTTGGAAATGAATGTGATGTTCAATGTGTGTGTGTGTGTGCGTGTGTGTGGTTGGTTCAGACTCCTTAGGCTGACGTCATTGAATCTGGTAGTCTTTGATTGTTATGACTAGATATCACGAGGCTTATAAAGTGATGACATGAGCTGCTATTTTGCCGTGTACGTACCCAGTGGGGGGCCTCCCAGGTAGATCAGGAAATGCCAGGTCTGAAGACCTCGGATGTGCGCTGGAGCTGGTTGAAACCGCGGTCACAGCGTTTCAAAGCCCGTCTGAAGGGTCGACCCAGGTAACAATCGGCAGCGTCAGCAGGTGCTCTTATTTTGAAAGGATGTCGTCTGGTTGTTAAACGACGAAAATCTCCAACTTCACAGTTCTTAGTTTAAAGAAGAAAACACATCTGGCCAGGCTGTGCTTCTCTTTGGGATGACGGTGAATAGAACTGAAGTCAAAATGGAACTGAGCTTAAAATGGCGTTGCCTTGTTTTATATCTCTGAATTGTTGATAAGTTTTAGTAAAGCGGATTGGACACTTTAAGTCAACAAGCCAGATTCTCTTGCGGCAGCCGAAGGCTCTGATTGGTTGGAGCAATGTGTCATGCGTTGCCATGGGGATGAGTGTCAGTCTGTCTGTGCATGTCGTCCTGTTTACTCATTAAACACATAAATCATGACATCTTTATTTCACAGATCATTCACTTGATTATCATTGATCAACATATGTTTTGCTTAATTTTTAATCACAAATAAAGTACTTTGATTAAGTAAAAGCGTTCTTCTTCCTTCTTCTGGAATGTAAACAGTCTGAGGATCAGACGACCTTGGCGTTTTCTACACGGGCGTAAATGTGTACAGGGGCAGCGTTTAGGAGCTGAAAATCATAACTTCATAACGTTACAGTTTAAAGAACATCATGCAGCCATCTTGAATCCCTTTTTTGAACTGATAAGAAGACTGCTGTTCCTTGATGACTTAAAATGAATAAAAACAACTTTCAAGCTGGCCATTCAATCCCATCATTCAACCTTTGCACGCCTGTTGTAGTTGTTTCAAGTTCTCATATCTTCTACTGACAGACAGCCACCAGCTAATCAATCTTGTCCTTGAACTGGAAAATGTTTTGCATCTTTCACAGGATTTAGAAAGACATCTGGTTCTGGACGGAATGCTGGAACAGCTCTTTATTCACGTAATGATTTCTGATGATACCAATCTGCATGTGTTTAATAAATATGGAACAGACCTATAACCATGTCCCTGATGAAGTCCTGTTGGGAAATGCTCCAGGCGAATGGAGTAGGGATAGGCCAATACATCGGTCGGCCATTTTATCGGCTGACTTTTTTTTTTTTTTTTTACGCATCAGCATCATCAGCCAACATTCCTCTTTAGTAGAGCAGATTTGAAGTCAGGCAAATCTGCTGGCAACCCAGTGCTGCCACAGAATTTTATTTAAATGTACACACTGGGATGAGGTCCTGCGCACAGTGGAGGAGTTTAAGTGCCTTAGGGTCTTGTTCACGAGTGAGGGAAAGATGGGCAGACAGATTGGTGCTGCGTCTGCAGTGATGCGGGCGTTGTACCGGTCTGTCCTAGTGAAGAGAGAGCTGAGCTGGAAGGCAAAGCTCTTGATTTACTGGTCGATCTACCTTCCTACCTTCATGGTCACAAGCTTTGGGTAGTGACCGAAAGAACGAGATCGCAGATACAAACAGGCATCTTTTCCCCCGCAGGGTGGCTGGGGTCTGCCTTAGAGATAAGGCGGGAAGCTCGGTCATTCGGGAGGGGCTTGGAGTAGACCCGCTGCTCCTCCGCATCGAGAGGAGCCAGTTGAGGTGGCTCAGGCATCTAGTTTGGGTGCCTCTTGGACGCCTCTTTGGTGAGGTTTTCTGGGCACATCCAACTGGGAGAAGACCTAAAGAAAGACCCAGGACATGCTGGAGAGACTGTCTCACGGCTGGCCAGGGAACGCCTTTGGATCTCCCGGAGGAGCTGGCTAAAGTGGTTGGGGATAGGAAAGTCTGGGCCTCCCTGCTTAGGCTGCTGCCCCTATGACCCGACCCTGGATAAGCGGCAGAAAATGGATAAATGGATCGGCGCATTTATACATCCATTCATATTACTCCACTCATCCAGGGTCAGGTCGAGGGGCCAGCAGCATGAGGCTCCCTCTTCCCAGCCACTTGGGCCAGCTCCTCCGGGAGAATCCAAAGGCATTCCCAGGCCAGCCAAGAATTACATATTTATGTTTTTGAAATACATCTGCTTACATTATTGCCTAGTTACATTTTTTTTATTGAACAGAAAATCAGAGTTCTAAATCTGACTCAGGATCAGATGTGTTGTGCATCCACAACCGTCAGTAACATTTCAGAATCCCAGTAAGGTGGAAAAGGTCTAGACATTGCCCATTGGCTGACCATGACCTCTGCATATTGGCATCAGTGTCAGCAATAGAAAATCTAATGTCGGTCAGTCTCTAGTGTGAAGTACCAATCCCATATGAGCCATTCCATCCTTAACTTGATTAGAAGCTTGGTTTGAACTGGTTTCCAGTTAGATTCACTCTGGTGGGTGCTGAACTCTGCTAACCTTTCTCACCCATTCTCTTCATGACCTTTAACGACAGAATGTGCCGTGCAGAGGGGGAATGGAGAGTTTCCACTTCAGTTGGTTTTGCTTTTCCTTTCTGCCTTTTTCCAAATGATGGGGTCCTGTTGGCTTAATGGAGTGGGGACCTTCAGCAGATACCCAGGATGAGTAGTTACATCTCTAAGTCTGAGGCCAGGGCGCACAATCTAAAAGAGTGAACTGCTGACGTCAAGTTGGGAGCGAGCTGTTGTCCAAAGTTGTTCATGAGTTTGGGTAGAAAACAGATGACATTGACTGGACTGTACTGGAGAAGAACAGTTCAGTCAATATGTGCTCCACTTCCATCCTAGAGACGTGTGTGTAGTGACCGGAAGTGTGAGATCGCAATAAAATGTGAAAAAAGGTGCCTCACGTGGACGCATACACACTAGCACCGTTTGTAGCCCGCTGGTGCAAAAGTGAGAGCCGGGGTGGGGCGGGGGTGGATCAGGGGCCACAGAGAAGGGCCCCGCGGGCCGGAGTACCATGGTCTAAAACATCCAGAGCATGAATAAATATTGTTAACCATCCTAAAATGAACTTCTTTCAGTTAAACATACATATTTTCAGAAAAGGCACTTGAGCCATTGCTTCGCCTTCCTTTCAAAATTCTCCCGCAGCAATGGATTGTGGGTAATACCCTTGGCCCAAGTCTGCATAAAAAAGGGGCGGGATCAATTTTTACACTTGAGGATCGGGACACCCTTCACACTCACAGCCCTGGACGGGAACGCACAATTGAAGGGCGCGAGTGTGGAGGTGCGAGTAGTGGGATTGGGCCTGTGACTAATTTGAACAGGGTCCAGGAATGAGATCTGGGAATGGATTAGGAAAATCTGTCCTTTCAGCTGAAATCTAGCAAGTATCAAAACAGAGGATTGTGACGTTTACTTACAATAAAGTCCCATTAGTCATCATCACACACTGGTGAGATTTGACCCTCTCACGTGGGGAGCGGTGAGCTGCAGCAGTGGCTGCGCTCAGGAACTAGTTTGTTGTTTAACTCCCCAATCCGACCACTTAACGCTGAGTGTCAAGCAGGGGAGAATTGGGTCTGATCTCTCAGTCTCAGGGCGGACACTCATACCACCAGGCTGAGAAGGTAAGTGCTCATAATAGATGCATTAGAAGAATTCACAACAGATTGGTCAAAGTCCCACATAGTAACTTCACTTTCAACAGACAAATACAGGAAAACCATTTTTAAGTTTAACTTCTCTGCGAGTACAAAGTGATTTGAAGAATGTGTGACTCTGACAGTGAAGCCACGGAATCGGTTAACTGACTTCACCAATTAGACCCATCGAAAAA